CCACACAAAAGCCCGTACAGGCTGAGTACGGCGGAATTGGATGAACTGCGGCGTCAGATCGACATATTGCTGGAACAGGGGTGGATCAGACCGAGCTCCAGCCCGTATGGTGCACCCATCCTATTTATACCAAAAAAGGATGGCAAGTGGAGGATGTGCATTGACTACAGGGCTTTGAACAAGATAACCGTCAAGAATCGGTACCCACTGCCAAAAGTGGAGGAATTGTTGGATCGACTTCACGGGGCTAAATACTTCACAAAGATTGATCTCTCCTCAGGTTACCATCAGATCCGAGTGAGAGAATCAGATGTACATAAGACAGCTTTCGTGAGTCGATATGGCAGTTTTGAATACCTTGTCATGCTGTTCGGGTTGTGCAACGCACCGGCAACCTTCCAGAGGATCATGAACACAATTTTGAGGGAAGGCTTGGACCAGTTTGTGCTAATGTTCCTGGATGATATACTAATCTACAGCAGGACAAAGGAGGAACACATACAGCACATCAAGGAAGTTCTGACTCACCTACGGTCGGAGAAGTTGTTTGGGAGATTAAAGAAGTGTGACTTCTTCATAACCGAGGTGGAGTACTTGGGCTTTGACGTGGGGGCTGAGGGGATCAAGCCTTCATTGTCAAAGGTCTAAGCAATTTTGACTTGGCCGACACCAGAAAACGTCACCGATGTCCGTTCATTTTTGGGGCTGTGCAGTTTTTATCGCAAGTTCATACGGTGGTTCAGCGAGCTGGCAGCGCCCATGACAGACTTGACGAAGAAGGACGGGGCCTTTGTTTGGAATGACAAAGCAGAAAAATCATTCAATCGTTTGAAGACAGCTATGGTGATTGCACCAGTTCTGCAGTTACCGGACTTCGACCGGGAGTTTGTGGTTACCACAGATGCATCAAGCATCTCAGTGGGTGGTATACTACAGCATGACTTTGGCAACGGGCTACAACCTGTTTGCTATGAGAGTAGAAAGCTCAACCCGGCCGAGACATGGTACAATGCATATGAGCGTGAATTACACTGCATCACTTGGGCTGTTGGGAAATGGCGGCACTACTTGGCCAGCCGCCACTTCGTCATCCAGACAGACCATGACTCATTGAAAAACCTGCCCAACTAGCCTGCAGTGAATAGGAGGGTGTGGAAATGGGTGCAGGTTCTGCAGGGCTATGATTGCGACATTATCCACATACCAGGAAAGGACAACCCTGCAGATTTTCTAACGCGCAGGAGTATTCAAGAGTTGAGATATATGGCAGATGTGCGTGCAAAAGAGGAGTCATTGGTCCAGCGTCTTTGTCTTCATGAGGGTGACAGCGGGGAAAACGATATTCAGAAGAAACTGGATGAAATATTTAAAAAGTCCTGTCTTGAGGGTGCAGTGGTGGCTGCAAGTGGGGAGCAAAATTCTTTATATTCTTTATCAGTGACCAGCACCAGAATTACTCTGGAGGAAGACTTGAGGAACTCTATAAAAGAGGGCTACAAGCAAGACAACAGATGGGCAAAAGTTTTGAATCAGTTGGAATGCGCCCAAGGACAATTCACCAGAATCGGGAATCGTGATTACCGATTGAACCATGGATTTATTGAGATCAAGTTGAAGGACAACACCGAGGACAGGCAACCTTGGAGATTGGTGGTACCAGATGTGGAGGACGCCCACAAGAAGATTATGGCAGAGATACATACAGTACCATATGCTGGGCATCTGGGTTACCACAAGACACTCAAGAAGTTACAGCAGAATTTCTACTGGCTAGATCACACAGTGGATGTACGAGACTTTGTGCTGGGATGTGAGGTCTACCAATCAGAGAAGAGTGTCCACAAGTTGCCAGCAAGACTCCTTCAGCCATTGCAACTTCCGGAGGAAAAATGGAGCGATGTCAGCCTCGATTTCATCATGGGTCTACTGGTCAGTGAAAGGAAAAACGATGGGATCCTCACGGTTGTAGACCGAGCTACAAAGATAGTACACTTGGTACCCGTTCAGCAGACCATCACTGCTACTGAGACCGCTCGAGTCTACTGGGAACAGATTGGACGACTACATGGGATCCCCAGATCGATTGTCAGTGACCGAGATCCCAGATTTGTGTCGAAGTTTTGGCAAGAATTCTGGAAGATTTTGGGCAGCAAGTTGAGGATGTCCAGCACTCACCACCCCCAGACAAATGGATAGACAGAGGCAGCCAACAGGGTGGTGGAGCAAGTCCTCAGGTGTACAATCCATAGCAGTCAGGAAGTCACTCATTGGGAGAAATACTTGCCCATGGTGGAATTCGTGATCAACAGCAGCGCATCGCCATCCACGGGGTACACGCCTTTCTTTCTGAACTACGGCTTTCAGCCAGTGACCCCGTTGGACCTGATCAAGGACGTAGACGAGACCAACATTGAGGGTGTCAACGTCTTTGTCAACAGGATGAAGAAGACCTTCAGAATGGCGATGCAGTCGGTTCATCAGGCTCAGCAGAGGCAGAAGCGTCAGGCCGATCAGCGGCGCAGAGAGCAGAGGTCTCATAGTGGGGAACAGGTGCTACTCAGTACAGAGCGTTTGCAGTTGAAGAATGCACCTGTTCGCAAATTGAAGCGAAGATTCGTGGGACCATTTGCTGTGGTCCGTCAGGTGGGATCAGTGGCCTACGAATTGAAGCTACCAGAAGGGTGGAGGATACATAACGTCTTTCACACCAATTTGCTTTGACCATTCAGATCGTCCAGATGGTCTACCCCACAGAAGTTAGATGACGCCGAGATCGAACCAGAAGCTGATGAACGTACGAAGTTGAGAAGCTGCTGCGATGGAGATGGGCAGGACCCAGTGGCAGGAGGCACAAGGAGTTTTTGGTGTTATGGACAGGGTGGAGTATTGACGATGCCTCCTGGATACTGGCAGGAAATTTCACCTACGCCAGAGAGCTCTAGAAGATGATCAAGAGGGACAAGCCCGAGGAAGACACTAGTATGGGATAGTGTGCTTTCGGGGGCGAAAGCTACCCCAAGGGGGGAGTATTGTGACGTGGCTGCTTGGGGTTTAGGCTTATTTGACATTTCTGGAGTGGGAATTACGTAATTGGCTAAATCGACCTTTTGTGTGTGTTATTTAGAGCTTCTTGGTTCCAACGAGCTTTTAAACGCCCGATTCCGTTAAGAAACGGCGAAGTTATGGCCTCCTGAAGTCGTAGTACTTTGGGATAGGGGGTCGGGTGTCAGATGCTTGGAATTAGAGGACATTAGGTCGATCGTAGGTGAACGGTGGACGGTGACATTGTGCCTGGACGCGCACGGGTATTGTCTTGTCTTGATGTGACAGCGATGGACCCGCGATCGGGCATCGCGCATGCGGATTTGTGCGCGCGCATGCTGTGAATCGTGTAATCCGTTCTGGCCCACTCTCTGGCCTCCCGCGAGCCAGCGAACCACTGCCTCGCTGCGCCGCCACCTCTCGCCGACAGCAGGCCCCGGGGATCGATCCCCGTCGAGCATTGGGCCCACCGCGCGACCACCGATTCGTCTGCCCCGGATATGCCCACCGTCCGAGGTGGAGAGAGCCGGCTGACCTCCAACAGCCGAGCCGCAGGGCAGGGTGACCCCCACGCCTCCGAAAGCAGCGGCTGCCGACGGGGCCGCAACAAACCCAATCCATCGCCCCTTGTGTCTTGCTCGGCTGCCCCTCGCCTACGTGGCTCCAGCAACTGCTGAAATGGCCACCATCCATGATGCGCACCTTGGCCACGACCAAGTGGGACATGGGCCCACCGTAGCATAGGCGCCTGCCAGACAGCAGGAAGAGGCCTCAAGGCCTGCTGGTGGCATGTGCATTCAAAAGAGTTTCGGTGACGCCACCGTGATGCTACATATCCAATACACAATGCGCATTACACCTAGGTGCCATCTTCACCACAATGGCAAAGTCCAACACAGATGCGCACCTCCACTTTGGGTGAATTCCCACACGTGAAGAGTCTGTCACGCGCCGTCCGAAGTGCACCGAGGACAAATGCTCGACAGATTCATCGAGGAACAGTGCGTCAAGGAAATTGCCTACGGCGGCGGATTGTTGCTCAGGAGAACGGCTGTCAGACCGAGATGTCTGGGAGACCGAACCGCCTGCGAACAATGTAACCCAGGAGATTCACCTGTCCATCGCGGTTACATTGCCTCTCATGTGAGAGGTCCATGTTGGGCGCAGTAGCAGACAGCCGTGCCCGCTGTTTTGTGCACTTCTGATGGGTCGTAAGGCCCTCATTCAATGATTCCCACTCCAGGTTCATTGTGGCATCCAACTCGGAGTTATGGGTTGAAAAATCAGAGGCAAGCTGGCACTGCAGGGACCTTGAGGTTGCCAGGAGTGGACTCTGATGACGTGAGACGCGCGGGACGCGGAGCTGCAAGGCATGATGATCGACATCATCAAGTCAAGGCACCGTCCGCAGAATAGCCAACGCGGATGCTCAGCCATGCATCGCGGTGATTGCATGCCTTCTTGCCATGCACGTTGCTCGGTGCTGTGTCTTCTCAGCTTCCGTTTCGACACTGTTACATCAAGTTCCATAGTATGTAACGCAGTTGCAGCATCTTGTGCTGTGGACGGTATGTAGCATTTCTGTTTCTTGTTGCAACGATTCCTGCAACCATCCATGGTCCTAAGCTGTGTTTTAAGAAAAAGAAATCGCCAAGCTCCCAGAATGGCCCCGCGAGGGCAAGGGCTGCGCATTCTCATGTTGTGGCAAAAACTAATCAAAACGAGTTCTAACCTATGGAAAGCCAAACACTCCCCCGCACACAAACGCCGCGTGTCAACAGATTCCAGGTGCCCGCCTCCTAACTAAGCGGACAACCTCCTCCACCAACCCACACAACGCACAGACTTGCTGTCTGCAAATACTGCTCCACGTGCCTCGGCCTGCAGGCGCCCCCCACGTGCAAGGCTACCTGCCAAGGCAAGTATAATCAAAGGATTCCCCTCCACCCTCGCTTCGCTCACTCCTTCACCCCAAAATTGGCGTTCCTTCCATCTTTCGACGACCACAACGGCCACCCCCTCTCCCCCAGGCCCCTGATGGTCTCTTTCTCGATAGCTCTGGCCATGCTCTTGCTGCCCTCCACCCTGGGGACACATATGTACCAAGCCTCCAGAGCCTTGCCCACGGCACTGCCACGCCTGCGGCGGTGGTGGCGAAGCCGCTTCTGCAGGTCGTCCGTCTCGCCCACGTACAGGTACTCGTCCGCCCAGCGGACCACGTAGATGCATGCTCTGTTGGTGAGGCGGGGAGGAGGGTCGTGACCTGCAAAGGGAGAAATGCACATTGATTGCAAGGCATGGATATCTCTGGCACGTTGTTGTGTCCGAAGGACAACACAGAGCCCTTGCAATTGAGGACGATGGGAAGCACCCGATGCATCCATGCTGTTTGTGTGAGTGCGCAAAGTGCGGCAATAGCAAAAGCACAATGTTCCAACAGTGCTCGAAATGAGAGAAGAAATGACAAGGCATGCACGATTGTGAGCTGGACAGCGATGTGCTGAGATCAGTTGGCACCATGGCCATGTCGATGACGACGAGTCAAGAACCTGTCAACACACTTGCCCATTTGATAGCAAACTGTTCACTTAGCCATTGGCGAGAAGGGGACAGTGTGCATCTAATAAACACACAACTCAATAATGCACTTGGATATTCTGGGCAATCAGTTGGCAACAAACATCCCATGGACCCAGCAACAACCACAAAAAAGGGGATCCTCCATAGCTTTCCATTGCAACTTACCAGGTGGGACATAGAAGGACTGAATCCAGCTGTGGTTCCCATCCTCCCACCCCTCTTTAAACACTTGACCCTCCGATCCTGCCATGGAAGGGGACACCAGCGTGCTGTCACATTCAGCAGCACTGCCTCCAGCCTTCTCCATCGTGCCATTGGCAGCACCGTCTTGTGGAGAGACTGAGGACGTTGAGGCCAGGGCCTGCCAAGCCTTCCTTGCACAATCTTCGAAAACTTCCATGACAAGGCCCTCTTCAACGTTGGACACCCGTCTTCCCGCCCACACATGCATCCGCTCGCCCTCACCATCTGCTGGCTGCCCGGCTGGAGAGCAGCGAAAGCGATTTAGACTCTGAATGCCCCTCTCCAATGTTTCAGCCCCAGCTGATGGCTGGGAAACGCTGTCCCCACCATTGGCTTCAGTCTTGTTCACCAAACGCCCTGTGATGTCAGCTTCCTGCAACTGAGGGGCACCAGGATCGACAGACTGTGGCCAGCTAGCAGCCCCGTCACCATGATTTCTGCATGCACCAAGCATTGTCTGCTCCATCCCTTCCAGTCCACCTCTGTCTGTTGTGCGTGGTTGCTGGACTCCTGTCAAGGATTTTGTGCACAAGATGTCCAGAAGTTGGCTTGCACGCTGGATGGTTTTGTCAGGCAGCCCAGAATCCTCTGCCACCTGTTCATTGCAGCAGCAGAAACAGTCGTCACTCTTTCACACTGCATGGTCTCTTTCAGATGCCTGGCGTTGGCCATCCAACGCACTGTTCCATGCTCAAACCCTTCAGCATAGTAAGGTAACGCTTGGCCCTTTTTCGCAGAGAAAACAACAAAAAAACAAGGCTCTATTGATAAATATTCTGCGGAGCGACGAAAAAAAAGTAATGCTCTGAAAAACAAAATGCAGAGCAAAAACCATGAAGATGTAATTCTCAGCTACGGAAGGGTATAAAACCCTGCAATACACAGAGACTTTGCACTAGGATGCGCAGCCGTCAATGACTGTGCATTGAGCTCAGCCACAGTGAGTGGTAAACTAGCTTGAGCTGTTTCCCCTTCAAAATGGCTGTTCAGGGCAACCCTGAAGTGTTAGAAACAGATGCAAGTCATGAAGTTGAAGATCTGCACTGTACAGTCACAGGACAGCAAATGTCTTCCAGCGAAGAACACACCTGCAGCGCCAGACTCTCAGTGCTCTTTCCTGGGACAATCTTCCATGTGGGCTCTCTCCTCTCAAACCCATTGCCGGGGCCATGCTCATTCTCTTCTGCTTTAACAGTCTCCATCTTCATATATCTGCATTGCACAAACATGACACGATTTTAGAAGACACGTGAACTAGTACGAATGTATGAAAACACTGCCATCTGCTTATTGCTTCAATCCAGCCGTTTCTTCAAACTTGTGAGCAGTCACTTCAGAAATTGATGTCCTTGCAATTCCATGCACTACATAGTAAGGTACCCTCACTGATGTCTGTTACCAGTGTTGTACGAATTCCAGTTGCTGAACAAACAGCAAACTTGTGCAAGGTGCTGTAGCTCGGCAAAACCAGGAAGACTACAGCATCGGGACAATGGCAGCATAGGCAGCAATATAGAGGACTGAGAGATGTGCTTTTTTGAATGAAAATGAATGTTTATTCCTGAGCTTGGAAGGTACAAAGTGCAACTTTGGTGTCCCAATCATGCACACTGAAGTGTAGTTGGACACCACTCTACCACATTTCTCCTGCATTTCCATGCTCTCACTTCACTGCTATCTATGCCTGCCAGAATGTCAACATTATTCGCCCACCTGGCTTCACCCTGGCCAACAGGTTTCATCTGGGGCACTGACATTCAGTAGCTGCAGCCTTCCAAGTTTCCTCCTCACATGACCACAGAGGATCCACTCTTTTTGTTGCTAAGGCGATCAGGCCCATAATCTTTTGTTTCAAGGATTGGCTAACAAAGGATCAACCAAGGGGCTGGTATGACACCGGTCAACACAAACAACTTGCCAGTGGCAGAGCACGCTATCAGCATACAACAACTTTGTGCTGTACCCCTGTTTTACCTGATGTTGGTTTCCACCAGCGGGAGGCGGAACAAAAAGTGCAGGTGGGTGGCAAAGATGCCCATGCAGCCTTTGTCGCGGATCGACTCAAAAATGGCACCCGCAACTGCAGTCCCTGCATGCACCTCTGTGCCCTTCCCAAGCTCGTCCACCAGCACTAGGGACTTGGTGGAAACATCGTCAAGCACATAGCCCATCTCCCACATCTCGGTGGCGAAGCCACTGCGGCCATCGATGGGGCTGTCTGAGGCAAAAGTCCGCAGGACAAAGGCGTCTATGTAGGGAATCTTGGCAAAGGTAGCAGGGATGAACAGCCCACAGGAGCCGAGCAATGCCACAGCACAGACGGAGCGAAGCACTGTGGATTTGCCTGAGGGCAGCACAGGTGTCTCAGTGCCAAAGATTGTCAGTTTGACAGCAAGAGAACGTGGTATGAAAGGGGAACCTCCTCTGAGCTGGACCCTTTCCATACTGTGAAAGATGATGCAGCAGAGTTCTCCCAAGACTTCCTCCACAGCCCTGAGCACCGGGCCACTATGCTAACAACATCGTCCGTGCAGCTGTGCAGCATTCATCAATGCATCGCAATCGGCATCCTTGCTCACATCAGCCATTGTTAGCCACGCTGGCATCATCCCTCACTGGAAGTTTTGGGACCTGTCCGCACACTGGAGCAATTCCCTAGTAAGTGAAAGGATAGTGCCTTACCGCAGTATAACAATGTGCCCAATGGCCATTCGCACTCCAGAATAGAACTTATACCTCTTGCCCAGTCCACTCAACAACATTTTGATAAGACATGATGTGGCGATGACAGTCTATGCCGTTGGGTTCAGGCTGCTCACTCATTATACATGAGCCATGAATCCAACTCCCCACCTGCCATGTTGGGCCCTGTCAGCATGACCATGCCTGACAGCTCGAATGTGTTCCTGACCGTCCGCATGCTCAAGCCATCGAGCCAATATGGCCACATCTCCTCAACCACCATGGGCCCTGGCTCTGCCACTCTCCTCACAGAGATGTCAGGCAGCGCCCAGTTGCGCCGGCAGGCCTCTCGCACATGCCCCTGGAGGGCTGTCATGATCGTCACGAACTGTGCAGCACCAATCAACCGAGAAAGGATGGGCCTCAGGGACTCTGCCAGCGAGATGAGGCCCTTTCGAACTGCCACTTCTGCTGCACTGCAGGCCTCCCTGGATGCAAGAATACAAGATATGCTATTTCAATCAACAACAATCATAATTTAGTTTAAAGCTCTGCTCTTTGTGCATTTCTCAATCTGCTGAATCCCCATTCATGGTTTTCTGAACCTTGTACCCTAGTTGGGGAATGCAGCAGGCATGATAAGTTTCTTTCTTTTGTATGCCAATCCAGAGGCAAAGAACACTCAGGCTTGCAGATGAGGTCTGTTGGTTTGTCATCGTTGCAGACACCATGGATCTGGTCTTAAAGCATCAAGGAATCGTAATCTTGACTGCTTCAAGACAATCAAGGGTCTGTGGCAGGAGCACAGGATGACGTGTTGCCATCAACAGGGATGTTCTACACATTAAACGCCACCAGGTCCAGGTGCCGAGATTGCATGCCAACACATAATGCTTCTTTCTTCCAAAACTTTTGCAACAAAGGTGTCATTGTCACAGCACACCACATCACACTTTAGCACTTGGAGTGAAAACCACATCCCATCTGCATCGTGTGCAAACCTATCCAGGGCGTTCTGCATAAATGCATGTCTGTGAGGAACCGACCTGTAAGAGCTCAATGCCAGCTCCAGTCGTTCAGATGAGTACCGATTCTGGCACACGACAGACTTCCTATCAAAAGGGTGCAGCAGTGCCATGTTCTTCACGAACTCGCTTTTTCTCAGCACAGGAGATGCGATCTTCAAGAAAACAGAGTTGTCATCCTGCAAACAGCACATGCCCATGTCACATCTGCTTGGTTTGCCACTTGCACAACAGTCTTCCAGTGTACCCTTTTGCAAATCCACACGAGGAGACAATCAAGGCCCACATCAATGTGAAAGCAGCTCCTTTGCACATGGTGGGGGCAATATGGACCACGGAAGTGAAGGATAGACACAGCTGAAACATAACAATAAAAAACTAGTAGTCATCAACATTCCTCTCCGGTAAAAAGTAATGCACTATGTCATGTGGAACGGTTGAGCAGCAATGCCATCTTGATCATTGCTATCATTTCCACCTGAAATGATGTGGATATACATCCCAGAACGCAAGACAATTGCATAGAACAGGAAGAAAATCAGCAGTCCCTCTCAAAGGTTGACAGCAACCAACAACGGGAGCAAAAGGCAAAACCTGCCAAGGGAGATGCATGGCTAAAACAGTTGACAATATGTAGTTCCATGTCAGGCACGATGCCCTCTAGGAAAGGATATGGAACTTCACTCCAATTTATTGCCAGCTGCACAGCTCGTTTCGGACAAACAGGTGCTGAACATTGGGCAATTTTCTATTTGGGACAATTGCACAATGGTTAGCACATGCTGATGGCTAAGACCACAAGTACTCACCATGATATCAGAATTTGATAATCTAAATAATGACAAGTTTTAGATCCAACTTTGTTCAAAGGTACAGCAAATTTCTGACAGAACTCGTTTCAGAAGGCCAGCCCTTCAATTCAAAGCCTCTTCACAGTTGCATGTGCTCAGCTCCTCTCTTTGTGCTTGGTATTATCATATCCTTGGTACCCACGCCTATAATAGCGTTCTTTCTGGCGGCAAACGACTTTGGCACCACCTGAATATAGTGAAAGTGAAATGTGCACCATGGGACACCCTTCATGGTGTGGTGCAACTTTGTGTTGACAGCATGTTGCTTGCAAAGGCCGTCAACTCAATGTGCAATCTCTCCAAGCACAAATGCCTCCAACTGCCAAACAATCGACCACAACAGATATCACATGCACTGCGCACCCTGTCGAATGCCACGATTGGGTCCCGTCGCCTGTTTCCTGTGTCCCTGCTGTGGTCCCTCAGAGGAAGAAAGATCTCCTCAACGGCCCCCTCCACATCTGCCTGGGCCTCCCTCACAGCCTCCAGCTCAGTCTTCAGACATCGGTCCAACACCCGTCCTTGGAACTTGCCTTCATTGAACGCAAAAAATGCACTGACGACCGCCATGTCACCTGAAGCCGCCTCCACCTCCACATCCCCTTCAGACGATGCTGGGGCGACCACACCACTGATGGCTTTTATGGCCGTCACACACGCGTCTTCTAGACTTTCTAAAGAGAGGGCCAGCCGGGTGTCTGCCTCCGTGACAGCTGTGACAGCCTTTGCAAGTGGAACGAGCTCAGGTGCTAGGATCGTCTCATGCACACCATTCACCAAGTCGCGCAAATTCCTGAAGAACCCCACGTTGCCCTGAGCAGCACTTATCAGCTGCACCACCTTGCTGCTGGGCATCGACGCCCCATAGCTGGGGATGGGGCATCGCAAGTTAGCCAGCAGCTCACACGCAGCATGAATCTGCTGTGCCGTTTCATCTGTGGGGGGCATCAGCAGCAGCTTGTTCATCCAGCCTCTGACAAGGCCAGTGGCTTCCGCCGGCAGCACAAAGTCCAGCAGGCTTGGGAAGCCCCGGGTCTGGGTGATGCCCAGCTGGCTGGAGGTGGACAGGTACAGGGGCATGGGCCTGGAGCGGTCCTGCTCTGACACCACCTGGAAAGCCACGTCAGGGGGCAGGCCCTGGCTCCTTCGCACCATCATGAGTAGCCCGTCCAGTGGACTGGGGGAGGTGTATATCTCGATGTGGCCCACCTGCAAGCATTACTGTATAAAACCCAGGCTGTAGAAGATGCTGCACAAAGGGGCAAGCTCCCAACAAGTGCTCAAAGTCTCCTACAGTCAACATTCACAGCCAGAACAAAGACAGGCAAAGCTCTGACTATGCACACTAGGAGACCTCCTTCCAAGCAACTATGTGAGGCACGCTGCCATGCTATACAAGATGATTCACAAATGCCCTGCTGGGGTGGGAAGCCATAGAGTTGACACTCAACAGGTTTACGCATGTGAGTGTTAATTTTGATCACCACATAATACACAGTTGCAACATTCAACAACACCACTTCTCAATTCCAAAATTTGGAATCTGATATTGTCAATGGGTCCCACATTATCCTCTTGCAAAGTGAAGGACAAGACAGACAAAAAGAAGCACGTGGCCAGGCATTAAAGGCACAAAGATATATTCTGAAGATGGCACCCACATACAGAACACATACAACAATTGCAAAAGACACAACAGCACAACTTGCATCCAGGCTGCAAACTCAGAGCGCGTTAGGGGTCCACACCTGTGAAGGGGCGATCTGCCTCAGTCTGTATTCCCACTCAGATAGGTCAGTGCCCTGCCTGGCCCTGCGTGTCTGCACTGCTGAGATCGATGAGTGGACATACAGCGGGGGTGCAACGCCCTGCGCATATATCCGGGACCACATAGCCTCCTCTGTGAGCCCATCTGAGACCTTCACCATCCTGGAGTCCACTGTCACGTCCATAACAGTGAAGCCCAGGGAAGTAAGGGCCACCCCCAGCACTGGGGCAGCCTGGTTGAACAGCTCATCTGCCACCGAGTCGATCAAGCCATGCAAATACATGGGCATCGAAGGCGTCACCACCCCGCTCACATACCTGTCATGTTGTTACAAGCAAAAATGTTGCTGTACTTTGGGCAGTGTAAATGTTGCAATTGCTGTTTCATCGCACTCAGGCCCTATCAAGCAACAGGTTTGCCTTGATCAAGGTCACAATCTCCGAGCAGCAGCTGCACTGCAAGAAAACGGGACGTTGGGAGCTAAGCAGCTACCTGTCTTTCTTGCCAGTGGTCCGCCCATACTGAGAGGCGGCAGGAGCCTCTTCACACACGACTGCAGAGAAGCCCGCCTGCTGGACCAGCGACTCCAATGTCTTCCTGATGTTCACCACGGGACATCCAGCCTTGGGGACGCCCAAGGCCGGCGACATCGGGTTCAGACCTGCATGCTCCACCAGGAGCACAGCGTCCACGCCAAGGCTTTCGTAGAACTCGCCGATGCGGCAAAGCACTACATGGCGTGGGTACTGTGCCTTGACTTTGCAGAAGAAGTCATAGCAGGAGGGCCGGCGACGGCGGCCAGCCAGGACCACCCCAGTGGGGCTTGCAGTCATGTCCAGTTGATCCACAAGCTGGCTTGCATTGGGGAGGGTGACCTTCGACAGGATCTTGTTCCAGAAGCTGACGTCTTCTGGGCTGAGGCGGTAATTCTGGGAGCGGCTGGCAGCCGCAAAAATCTTCCGCGGGGGTGTCCATGCGTATTTTCTTCTCAATGGGGATTCTATCCAGTGATCGCCCCATCTCCCTGGACATGATGGTAATCGTGTCAAATGAATTTTGCAGAAAGCAGGCACAATTGGCGCAATGGGCAACTTAATCCAAGGAGAGGGCTCGAAGCTGTGCTTCAGAGCCCCGTGAGACGATGCACTCCAGCCCATGAGAGGAGAAGCAGTGACAACAATGTCTGGTATTCTTCTTAAAACATCAATAGGCGATACGCATGCCCTTGCCCTTGTGTGCAAGTGCCAGCCTCTGCAGAAATCGCCAAGGGCTTATTGCGTATGTTCTCAATGCTCACTAGGCAGGGGCACTGCAACATCGACAAATCTCTTGCTAGCTCTCAACGACGGCTGCAGAGCTTGGCGCGCGGTGGCCGCCTGTTCGACACGCCGATCACGGCCAGAGGGGGATCGCACCGTCCATGGTGCATTAGCATGCTATGGGCCAGTCAATGCACCAGAAAGACCGCGAACCCGGCGATCTGCATGCACAATGTACACCCCAGAATCGTCGACGACTGCGTAGGCCTAGACCGGCAGTGAACGGACCCACCGCCCCACGTTGACTGGGGTCCACGAGCATCCATTAATCCCCACCTGATCCGATCACGGCACACTGCTGTGCCCAATTGGGCAGGCCTGCCCCCATCCCCCTCCATCTCAAAAGCTCCGAGGTCCGGAAAGCTCTGAAACGCGCACCCCACGCCGCGCGGCCCCCCAGTTCGATCTCGACCGCGCTCCCGCGCAGCATCGTCGACAGCCGTGCCCTCAGGACGCGGGATGCCAGCATGCTGGGGACCGTCCTGCGCACCGCCCGGCCCGCCCGGGGGCCATCGGACTTCCCTCGCCGCGACCCGCGTCCTCTCCTCTGCGCCACGAGCGGCCGCAGCCGCGTCGCATACCGAACCGGCCAACCCCGGGCCACTCCGCCGATCGTCTGCCCAAGTGCCGGGCACTGGCTCCACCAGCCCACCAGATCAGAATGCCGTCCCATCGGCAATTTCGCGTCTGTACATTAGCGTGGTAGTTCTGAAGGGCGCGACCCAGCCGTTCTCCGCCCCGCGCCGTCCCTTGGGGGCCAGATCCGCGTTTTGCGCCCTGGCAGTCACCCACAGCCCCACCCCACCCACCCACCCACAAGCGCCCACTGCCGTGTCCCCAGGAGCGCGCCGGCACCCAAGGGGTTCCCTACAGCCGGACCGCTGGCGAGAAAGACAGGCTGCTAAGTTCCCAGCGCCGCCGCGTGCAGCTCCCGCTGGGAGAGTGTGACCTTGGCCAAACAGCGGTCCGTGGGCGCTCGTTCGGCTGGAACAACGTAAGACGCGGGGGCGCCACAGTCTTGCGTTCCGCCTTCCGGTTCCCTGCGGCCCGCGGCAGGCGGGCATGGAAACCGTGCAACAAAAGCGCGGGAGCTCGCACACGCGGGGCGGCGGCAACGCGGGGCCAAGGCGCGGATCCAGAGCCTGCGGCCGCGGAGAAAAGACTATCCTACGGCTTGCTTGCCTGCCGCAGGGGAAGGGGAGTGGCGAGAAATAGTGAAGTCGGAGAGCGTGTGGAATTGTTGTCACAAGGAAGAGAGGAGGGTTCACTTGGCACGGAGTGGCGCGGGCATCCGGCGCAGGCTCCCAGCGCCACGGGCTACGGGGCTGCGACATCGCGGAGCCCTGCAACGCGGGAATTGGGCGATGTCGGAGGAGGGTGGCCCTCCAGCGCAGCGGCGCGGAAGCCGCAGTCTCTCTGGCATGGCCGCCATGGGCGGACGCATGGCCTTGGGAAAGAAACTGGCGGCGTGATCGGGAGTGGGCGAACAGATCCGCAGCCACGATCCTGAGAGGAAGAGGGAGACTGGAGGTTTATGCAAGGCCTTGGAGCACTGGCTTTCCATGCAGGCCAGGCCGGGCGCTGGGTTCAGGGCACGCCAACGAAACTGGACAAGCTGTGTTGGGGCAATTCCGTACAGCCCAGTCAAGGCAGCAATCCGTACGGGGAGACTGGGCTTGTCAATGCCCCGCGCGCCCCACCCTCCAATGCCTGCTCTCCATCGGGCTCCTCCAGCTGGCCATCAGCTGAATGTTCCAGCCGACTCACTTCCAGCGCCTCGTCCATCGATGGCCTCGACGATGGGCGGCAGGTGACAAGGCGCTGGTCGATCTGCGCATTAAGGGCGCACGAGCGTGGTGAGGAGAGCGGCAGCCCGCAGAGGCGACGGGCACAACGCCGCGTTGCTCAGGGCCTCGGGGTGTGCATGAACGGATTGGGCAGTGGGTGCCGGTGGCAGTGCAGCTTTCCTTCGGGAGTCGAACGTCCTGATGTGCGACGTTTTGACGGTGTGGTGGCGGTTATGGCAGACTGTGCAATGGAGGACGGGTCTATGGCGGTCAGGGACCAGCCACAGGTGCCCGGTGGGGGCAGCTCGCTACCCAGCTGGTACAATGCGGGGGCACGGAGGGACCGCACTGAGGTTCCTAAGTGGACACGGAGCCCTTGGGGCACGAGGTCAGATTCCTGACGAGGACACAAGGCGCCCCAACACGTGTCCCAACCCGTACTCGCGGGGAACCTCACACCGCCCCGTCATTAACTCCGGTGCTGGTACATTAGCGCAGCAGTTTTCCCCAAAATGCGGATAAAGTCCGCACAACAGCGTGGGCACATTTCCCAAGAACGGGCCAGTGCATAGGCGCAGCACATTTCGCAAAGAATGCGGGCAAATCCCGGTCCCTAGCCCCTGTCCCCCGCTGGCAAAAAGCTCCGTCGGCAGATTCTGGCAACCCAGGCCACGCCGGAAAGGCGATTTTTCGTCGCCCTTGGGCCGAACTGTGGAGGCCGACGGCGCCCTGGGGAGCATGCCCCGCCCGGTGACCTCCCCCCTGACGCGCCTCCGCGCGCCCCTGCCTCATGGCAATCGACTCTTCCCGGATTTGAGCAAGGCATCGCGGCTGGCGGGGCGCCACATGCGCGCTCCGGCGGCGTCTGCGGCCGAGCTGCATGAGGCCGAGGAGGTGAAGGGCATCCGGGTGCTGCCGGGCGAGGATGAGGACATCCCCGGGGTGGAGTACCTGGTGGGATGGAAGGACGGCGAGGCGGACACCTGGGAGCCGGCCATCAACCTGTCGGACGACCTGATACGGGACTTCGACGAGGGCTGGTGGGAGGCGTGCAAGAAGGCGGACAAGGAGGCCATAGGGAAGATGCTGCGCGCGGGAGGGCCCACCCTGGCCAAGGTGCGGGCGGAAACGTCCACGTAGGCGAGGGTTGGCCGAGCAAGACGGATGAAAATTGATGATATTGAGATGGCACGCCGCCCCTGGAGCTGGACTGGCTGGCGTCTGTCTTTGCGTCTTTGTCTGTGTTGTGCCACAATGCCGTGCCGTGGGAAGTCCCCCTGCTGAGTGTGGGCCGGGGGCAGCTCATCCCACGGTCAATGCTGTCCATGCTGTATCAGCTGGCGAATCAATTAATGGAGCGAAACTGTGATGCCCCATCGATGCTCGGCTGTACATTGTACGCTCTTGGAACCCTTTCAGAAACGACGGAGATAGATCAAAGTTCTCCCCTTGCCCCTTTGCTGCTGCCTTGCTTTGTGGATGCGCCCATGGTATGCACCCCAGCTTGACAGTTCCAGTGGTGGTCTTTTGTTTCCCATCACAGCAAATGTCAATCATTCCCAAGGTCTAATTCCTGTTCCAGGTGGTTGATGAGGAGGGTCGATCTGCTCTGCATTTCGCCGCTGCACTGGGATCTGTGGATATCGTCCGTATGCTCCTGGCATATGACGCCGACCCGAATTTGGGCGACAAAGAGGAGTACACCCCTCTGCACATGGCTGCTGGGTACCTGCACGTGCCAGTCGTCCAGTTGCTGCTGGAGGCCGGGGGAGACCCAGAGTACACAGATGACTCTGGTCGCACACCCCTGACACTGCTTATCAGCCTCAGGGACAATCTTCCTGCTGACAACCCCATGATGGTGGCCAGGCGAATGGCCCTAGAACAGGTTTGTCCCTGAAATCTGCATGGTCGCCACAACGAACAGCAGTTGGGCGTCCAGTTTTGGGCTGAAAATGTGCTGGCAATGAGTGCACCAGCATGCGCACAACAAAATTGTGTTTGTCACGACATAAAGCATTGTTCTTGCGCCTATATCCCAGCAGTGGGCGATGTCCACACATGCACATTATCGTCCTTGATTTGCGGTTGGTTCCTGCCTGCCAATGGCAGGTTGGTTTGCTGGTTGCCTGTATCTTCATTGGGTGGTGGTTGGTGCTGAGAAGTAGCCACCCATTCTGAAATGGGTAACCTGTTGGCTAGTCAATTTGTGGATCGCCAAAGTGGCAGATGTTTTGTGCATTGAACGGTGAATGTACACAAGCTATATTTGTATTACTGTTTCATTGGTCATCCATCGAGATTCCCACTATATTCAGATCGATTGCACCCATCAATGTTTGTGTATTGTTGTGCCTTTTTGGCTGTCCCTATCAATTGTTTGCAGTACTTCCCCCCTTCCAGGATCAAATACATCATCATGTCAATGCACAAGAGCATATGATTTTTCATAGTATTATAACCTCTGTCAGCGGTATCCCTCAGTGATCGTGTGCACAAGCCATGGTGCTTGTCTGCTGTCCACATTTGAGATGATGTGGGTCTATCTTGATCATCACAACAGACTGTCTTTGGCAAGATTGTCCATTCAGTCTCTACGGAACTGCCCTCCACACTGTTGATGTGTGAAAGAAGAAAAGTACACATTTCAAATCCTGAAAGGAAAATGAGGGCACAAAGATTGTTGTCCAGCTGCTGGATGCCAGTGCGTTATGCCCTCAGAATATTCCACTTGCCTTTTTAGCACTTCACCTACGGAAATCCAAGTAGGTATATTTACCAAAGGATGACGAGTCAGTGGATCTTCGTCGTCTAAGCGGCGCAGGGCAGTGCTTGCCGCTTTTGCAGTGCCCGTCCCCAGTGTGCATGTGTTCCTGCCCAAACATGCAGTACTAAACCTGCTCTGAGAGCAAATGTGGCCCTGGAGCAGGGGATAGCTTGCCTCCAGGGCAACCTCTACGAAGACCTCGAGCCAGTGGCAATCCTGCTGGATCGAGAGACGGGGCCCGAGAGGGAGTTTCTGGTGCAATGGCCAGATGACGTTGAGGACACCTGGGTGCCGCTGTCCGACATGGCAGAAGACGTGGTCCGAGACTACGACCAGGGACTGGAGTACTGCGAGCCAGAGGCAATAGTGGATGTCCGTTCCAAGGGGGACGAAAGGGAGTATCTGCTTCGGTGGAAGGACGACTACCCCGACAGCTGGGAAGCGGAGGAGAATGTGTCGAGTGTGCTGATCGAGGAGTGGGAGGAGAGCAGGAGAGGGCAAGGCGGCAAGGGGTCGCCCAACAAGGCAGCCCAGCCAGCTGAGTTGCAGCCAGCGGTGGCCTGATGTTCCATGGCCTGTGGGGTGGCATGGCGTGTTCTTTTGTGGACAGCGTTGTTGGGACGGGATTGGAGTCCAGCATCTGTGCACACTCGATGCCGGGGAGCTCTGGTGCATGAAGGCACCAGAATTGAGGAGCCGATCTCTCCTGATGGGCAGAAGCTGTGTTTTGAATGTTTGCTTGCCCTGCCTTGCTGTGGCTGAATTTAGTTGTGATGATCCTGGGCAATAGAGAGACGACAATAGTTACAGAGGCTTGCTGTTAGATGCAGTACATGTGTGGCTGACAGGGATGGCCAGATGATTGACTCGCCTAGGTGGGTGGTTTTGAGGCTACTTGCAAACTGGCCATCCATGGATAGCACAGATTTAGCCACACACAATGTGTAAAGCACTGAGAGAAAGGGATTACCAAAACCAGAAGGCGCTTGAGAGTTTCAAGGGTCGCTGTGCTATTACCCCACCCATTGTTAATGCGCTGCAGGCCACCTGGTCCGCTGCAACATGTTGTCTGTAGACGACTCAGATCTGTTAGCCCGTGGAATGGAACTCTCAGCGGCAGTGGTTTCATGGCTGGTGGCCCGTGTTGCACACAAGGACATATTTATTGTTGCATGCTGCTGACGCACTCCAATATTCGAGTCGCTTGTTTCAGGAGGAAAAGCGTGTCAAATGGGTTACCAGCGTGGGGCAAGGACGGGGACTCGGGATGATGCAGTGTGACGCTGATTGATGCAGTCAAGTACTGTCAAAGTGGTCGAATCACAAGCGCTGATGGGGGCTACTGCACAATTAACGGAACAAGGCATAACCTGCTTCTCGATTGTCGGGGAGTATCACCCTTGAGAAGAATGGAGCGCGCATTCACTTGTGCAACCGTACACACGCGTGTCTGCTCCGCATCCATTGGCCCTTCCTCTGTTGCAACAAAGCAATCCTCGGCAATGGCTGAGGAAGCAAGATAGCCACTTGCAGTCAGCCCGATATTCTTATGCAGCTTGTGAGCCAATCAATCTCGCCGCTCGCGCCAGGTGGATGCCAGCGGTTTTTGAGCGAACCACTGCCGCTGAAATCACCGGTCTGAGAAACTGTTGGCGATGTGAGTTACAAGTCGAATGTCATTGCACGCCGTACAAATGTCGTCACCTTAGGATCTGCATTTTCATTTCAAAACTGTCGGCCACAGCCCAACCGAATCTAACCTGACCGTGGTGCTGTGAAGATGATGCTAAGATGTGCTGCGATGTGCTGTTGCACAATTTCGCGCAGAAAGAATGACAGGTGCAGCAGTCTGTGTCAGCCGTTTCAGAATCCCCAAGCCGTCGCACTGCCGAATAGTACTTAAGCTCTTGGAAGGTCGTTTCCACCAAACGAATTGGTAGCATGGTCCCTCCTCGGGTTCTTCAAACAACGACACAAAGGCGCTCCGAATACGCTCTTCTGACTGTGCGTCCTTGAGGAACGTGCTCTAAAAGCTATACACCCCGCTCATTTGCTCACACCCATGTCTACCATTCTCAAGACGAACTATGCGCTATGGCTCAGCGTCCAGATTGTGGATGGGACATCCAGACTATTGTCATCATCATGCGCAAACTGATAAACTTAGGATGCCCAACGCATTACAATCAAAAATGCGAACTTCGCGCTCATTTACTAGAGCACTTGAGCAATAGAATCTTCGGTATTCCAACATTTTTTCTGTTGCAGAGGAGCCCAAATAGTGCTGCACAGTGAAGATGACATTCTCGTACACCTCTCGATGGAAAGATTCGCGTCAGCAGCGTCGGTTGGGTGCAACATGTTTGTGAGAGAACCACGCTCGTTGAAATCACCAGTGTGAGAAATTGTCGGCGATGCGAATTACAAGTCGAATGATGTTGTTCGTCGAACAAATGCCCGCCACCATGCGGACCTCCACCCTTCTGAAAACTGTAGGCTCCCAAAGACCATCCGTCCTTCGTGAGCCTCTCTCGGCCATAGCAGTGCATCTGTGTCGCTGCCTTACCGAATCTCGCCTAATTGGTGCTACAACTGTTGTACAATTTCTTGCAGGAAAAATCTCAAATACCGTGGTTGGGATCAGCCGTTGTCAGACTCCCCAAGCCGTCACACCGCCAACCAACACGTCCAAACTAATGAAAGCCTACAATGGGAGTTCTCGTTCTCCAAGAGGAATTGCTGGCATGCCCTTAGTTGTCCTCTGGCGGGGATAACCAGCGGGTGCTCGTTATGCATCAGTCTCTGGCTACGGTTCCTTGAAGAACATGCCGAAGAGGCCGCACGCGAGTCGCCCTGCCCACCTCGTCTTCTCGCCGCATCACCCATGAAATGTACTCGGTGCCCATCCTCCACACTGAAAAGCAGGCCAGACTACAATCAGATACTCGCGAGCAGAAGGCGACTCTACTGGGGACTTCCGAGCACGTATCAGCTTGCGTCCGTTTTCTCGCCGCATGATCGCCCGTGCATGAGAGCCTCAACAACGGACCATCCACCAGTCAGGCCACTCAAAGTCTGGAACGTGCTCGACAGCATGAGAATCGGATTGCCTACCTCGTTGGCGGCCTCATCTCTTCCCACTCCCAGTTTCGTGTTCGTTGGCCTCCTTGTGGTCATAATGTCCTGCAGGCGCTCCCGGTTGCCCCGGCGTGCCAGGCGTCCCCGGCTGCCCTGGCGTCCCAGGTTTGCCTGCCTGTCCGTCCGCCCCGTCCCTGCCAGATGCGCCAGGAGTGCCGTCTCTGCCGGGAGTGCCGTCTTTCCCGGGCCACCCGTCCTTGCCGTCTTGTCCGGTTTGGCCTTGTGCGCCATCCTCCCCCGGAACACCGACGGGGCCCTGAGGCCCCTGCGGTCCTGGACCACCGGGCTGGCCCTGAGCGCCGGGCGCCCCGGCGGCTCCGGGCTGTCCGTCGGCGCCGTCCCTGCCGGGATTGCCCTGCTGCCCCGGGTTACCTGGCGGTCCCTGTTGGCCTGGGCTTCCGGGCGTTCCGGGGGATCCACTGGCGCCTCGCTCTCCCATGGCGCCGGGGTTGCCTGGGGCGCCCGGGGCACCGTCCCTCCCGGCCGCGCCAGCCTCGCCCCGGGCTCCAGCCTGTCCGGGATTGCCGTCCTGTCCGCGCTCTCCCTGGGGCCCAGGCTGGCCCGGCTGGCCGGGATTGCCGGGGTCCCCTTTGTCGCCCTTCTCGCCTGGGGCTCCCGCAGCCCCAGGGGCACCGGGCTCGCCGTCCTTGCCGGGCGCCCCGACGACTGGGACTGGCACGGGCACAGGTATTTCTGCGGCATCCCAAACAGCGAATCAGCAGGGAGCCAAAAAGTAGTCCGAAGCGCAAGCAATTGTCACGCTGAGGCACGGCAAGGCACTGTTCTCGCTTGTATGACTCCATGTCGGCTGCGTACGTCCTTAGCACAGAAACGCGGCTCTCACAGATTGCGCAGACAGATTGCACAACGACCTCAGGGTACCGTGCCAAGTCACCGCGCCAGTTTCTGAGCGGCTGAAAGAGCAGCACGGCAAGAGCCTGCCAAGAGACTGGGCCCTGGGCACTCACTGCACGACTCCAGCTTGCCGTCGAAGAGCTTCTTTATCTTCTCCGTGGCGGCCACGTGCTCCTGCACCTTCTCCGGCTCCGTCTCATTCTTGGCGCAAAAGGCCGCGGCGGTGTCGCAGTCCAGCATGTCGTGGTCGTACCAGTCGCAGATGAGCTCCACGTAGGTGCAGCAATTGTCGCTCTCCAGGTTCAGGCACGCGCACGTCTCCACCTCCACGTACACGACCTCGGGCAGAGGCGGAGGAGGCGCAGGGTGGCTGTACGACTTCTTGGAGTAGCCGTTGCCCTTGCTGCCCACCACATGGTGGTAGCCCTTGCCGTAGTTTTTGGTCGCGCTACCATGGTAGCCCTTGTAGCCGCTCTTGCTCGAGCGGTGGCCCACGCCGGTGTACCTGTGGCTCCTGTCGCACCACAGCCTCCAGTCAGAGAAGCGCCTTGGCCGGCCGCTGCGCTTGGGCCAACGTGCGCGGGAGCGCTGGCCAGGCCTCTGATAAAGGAGCCCCAGCCGCTGGGTCACACTAACCACTCTCATCCATAGTACGACGCCGACTGGCACAGGCACATCGAAACAATGGCCCGACGACGGTTGGGAGCCCCCAAGCGACACTTACCCCGCCACGCTGCACACGAGCGCCGCGAGCACAGCCAACGCCAGTCCCCTGCACAGGGCCGCGTTCCTGCAGCCATCACAGCAAACGTAAGAATGAGTTTCCCACAGGCATGCCGGCCGTTACTAGCGTCCTTGAGAACGCTGGGAGGGGGGCCGGCGCAACGACAGACGATGGCAGTCGCGGCTCGCGACAAGAGCAGGGACCGTCCAAGAATTCATCGTGAGCGCAACGCGCTGCTCTAGGGTTAACGAGCAGCCTCTCCACTCATCCGCGGACGACACAAAACATGGATTGGCTCCGGGGGATGGCCGATTACTTGGCTAGTGCTGGGCGATTGCTGCCCACTGGCGCGCTCTCTGACAAACTTGACAATGGATCCCTACAGTCGAGGCAAATTTCGAGCTGGAGACGGGAACACGCGCGCCTGAGCCGATAGACGGTCTGGTTCCCCGCGCTTGATGCTCATCGTTGCCATTGATAAAGCAGCGTCCGCCAATCCGTTGCAGACTCACGCATTGGCACCGTTGCGGTAGCTCGATTTCCCATCCAGGCGTCAACGACTAGTAACGGTCAGCCATTGACCCACACTCGGACGAGCAAGCGACGGTCCAGGGCAATCGAGCGATGAGCAGCACTGGTCACTGAACACGAAGCGTGTCACGATAGCCTCTCCAACAGGCGGCAGCAACGCTTTGGGGAGAATCTCCAACACATCCGTTGGACCGACCCCGCAAGCCGCGCGCGAGATTGCCAACAGCCGAGCAATCCCACAGACACAGCTCCGCAACCGCGCAAGGCAGCCAAACGGACGCATTCCTACCGCAGGGCGGCACGTCGAGGATTCGCCATCCCGGCCATCGCAGCGCTGCACAGCTCTTGGATCCCTTTGCTTCAAGAACTCGCCTGGCGTCAGACTCCGCTCGAGGGCTGGTTGGCCGTTCAGAACGGCAAGGTAAGCAGCAGGCCAGCAATAAATACTCTTGGGAGGGGTGTGCACAGTCAAGCGCAGTCAGCTTCCCGGTCCGGTCCGCCCAAGAGCGGTGGACCGCCGTCCGAGGATACCCCACTGCTGGATCCGAGTTGGCAGCAATTGCCGGCATGGCGACGCGAAAACCCTCTACCAGTTGCAGAGCAGCGGCAGGTCCACGAAACCTCGTGCGCCGCCAGGACCGGGTCCGGCGTGCTTGCGCAGAGTGCCTCGATTCCTCACCATTATAATGATACTTTATTTTGCCCATTGTATTGCCTCGGGCGTTATTCCCGTCGATTCGTTCGTTGATTCCAGCCCGGTACGAGGCTGCCGCTGCGCTGATCCGCTTGATTCAAGCGCATATTCGGCGGTGAACCTGGATCCCGGACGGCCGCCCAGCCCGCTCTGGGACAGACCGACCCGGGGCGCTGACTTCGGCTGACTGTGCACCCCCTGTCCGGGGTATTTAATGCGCCATCGCTGCATACTTTCGCATTTCTGAACGGCAAGCGAGTCCTGGAGCAGACTCCGAGACCAAACCAACTCGGAGACCCAAGGAGCGCCTGACGCAGCGGCAGACCAAGAGCGGTGCTGTTGTGCGCTGGGCAGGATGGGGAATCTTCGACGCATCGACTTCCGGTGAGGATTGGTTTGATTGCGGATTGGCAAGTGGAGAGGATGCTCTTGCAGCGGCGAGTTTGGCATGGCCAAGAGCAAGCGGTCCCGCATCGGCGCAGCGCATGTCGCAGGATGGTCGGACCCAGGCCCGGGACTCCTGGTCTTGACTTAGTTTTGTTTGCCCATCGACGGCGCGTGCCGATTGTTAATTTGTGTGTAGGCCGCCTTGTTCGCCGTTGGGTCGGCAGCATCCCGGGACCGTGCAGCGCCATCCATCGCCTACGCGTGCCTTGGGGTTTACGAATTGGCGCCTGTCGACGGGATGAATCTGTCGCCGTTACCAATCTGCGGAGCCGTCCTGGGCAAAAGACCCCGCGGATTGCACGAGCGCGTTTCTTCTGCGGGCAAGGGGGGCCGTGGCGTTGGTCGCTTGTAGGCGCACCCGAACGCGCAGAATTCCTTTAGATGGTCTGCATGAGTCCATGGCGCGGTGACCGTCTGCGCTGACGGCTCGCCGGGGAGCCGTGCAGGCAGGCGTAAGGATGCCGTTCCGTGCGGAGTTCGGGGAAAGCCTTCTGACACTCTCCTTGTGCGAACTGCAGGAACGCGACCTTGGGCAAGGCCCTGGCGTTGGCTCTGTTCGCCGCGCTGTTGTGCACCGTGGAAGGGTGAGTACATCCTCTGAAACGACGGCGGCCGCTGGGTCGCTTGTCGTACGAGTGTGAGAGAGCTGCTTCCGTGGACAAGCCGCTGCGGTTGCATTTGTGTGAGAGTTGTGTGGTCGCTCAGCAGTCCCGGGTGGTCCCAGGGTGAACTCCCAACGTCCAAACTGGCGACAATGGCACCTGACATCAGGCTGTGTTGAAGCAGGGGCTCAACGCGCTACGTCTACAGGCAGGGCTACGGCCGGGCCGCGAGCAAGATCTACCACGGGGTGCGCGGCAAGCCGTCCCGAGAAACTGTGACCGCTGGCTACGATGGCAAGACTCGTGTGGGCGATGCGACCGAGGGCAATGGCCACTCCAAGACAAGCTACGCCCGGGCGCCCCCGCTGCCCAAGCTGCTGTACCTGGAGGTGGACAAGTGCGTGTGCGCCGAGGCGGAGAACAAGGAGTGCTGCGCCTACGTGGAGCACATCTGCGGCTGGTACGACCACATCAGGCTGGACTGCTACACCGCCAAGGACTTGTGCATGGAGGTCAACGACGACACCAAGTGGGGGAGGGTTAAGGCGCACCAGGCCGCAGTGGCCAAAGTGGAGGCGCTGTTCGAAGGCGAACTTGACAACTGCGGTGAGTGGCCCACAGTCTCCAGCGGTGTCCCATCCCACCCATGCAGCTACAAGTCTGCCGGTCCCACGAAACTGGAATAAGGGGTTGGCTGGGGCAACGGGTGTCCTGGTGTTGATCCCAACTGAAGCTCTGTGTGGCCTGCCTCAGATGCGCCGGCGCCCGCTCCAGTTCATGTAGAAGCGCCTCCCGGCCCCGACGGACAACCCGGGGCGCCAGGCAACCCTGGAGCCCCAGGCGCGAAGGGCGACAAAGGCGACCCCGGTACTCCGGGACACAGCGGCCAGCCTGGGCCCCGTGGACCGCGCGGGCAGGACGGCATTCCAGGACAGCCAGGAGCGAGGGGCGAGTCGGGAGCATCTGGACGGGATGGGACGCCTGGCACCCCCGGCATTCCCGGTGCCAGGGGAGAGCGCGGCGCCACGGGGCCGGCGGGGGCTCCCGGCGGCACGGGGCAGCCGGGAGCGCCCGGAGACCCCGGACAGCAGGGCCACCCAGGCAGGGACGGCGTCAACGGAGAGCCTGGAGTTGATGGTGCCCTTGGCGTTCAGGGCGCTCCTGGTGTCCCTGGTCCCGCTGGGTCCCCGGGTCGCGTGGGCGCTCCTGGACAGCCCGGCGCCCAGGGCAACCCAGGCGAAGACGGCAAGGACGGCGGACACGGCACGGACGGCACTCCTGGCAGGGACGGCAGGGACGGCACGGCGGGCAGGGATGGGGCGGACGGGCAGCCTGGCAAGCCGGGGACGCCGGGGCAGCCAGGGACCCCTGGCACGCCAGGACAACCCGGGGCGCCCGGAGGCCTCGGTGCCAAACACGGTGCCAGACACGGGGAGCACGGAGCTAATGACCATTACTACGAGGTGCCTGAAGATCACGCTGGTGACACCGACACGCAGGGTGCCAGTGGGGGGGAGACCTACTTCGAGGAAGATGGGGGTGGGGGGAGATGAAGCCGCGCGCTGCGGGTGAGCATCTTAGAGACTGTTGCTGTTCCCGCAGAGGATGCTCATTAGCCCGAACGGAAGCCATGTTTCAGCCCACAGGGCGACCATCCCATGCAGCGGAGTCTAAATTGTAGTACTGTGTTGTTGCATGGCCGCCAACCTGTTGGTTGGAAATGTCTTGAGAGTCGTCTTCAATGCCCAACAACTGTGCACAACTGCTTGCAATCTACACACCATGCCATTTCCATGTGTGGCTCCACATTGCTTTTTCTGCAACACAGGCGCGTGTCAGGCACACAATAGTGAGGCTATGCTCAGCGGTAACCGCCACTGTAATGCCACAATGGGCAAGCGGCGCTCTGGCGCCTATCCCATTTACTGGACGCCTTGAAGCAGCCAACGAATATTGCAATAATCTGGGATGCTGACGCAGTTTTTCTACCCCCACAAACACTGACGATGACGTGCATTGCGCAGGGGATGGGTGATGGAAGACGTTGATGTTTGGCGAGTCGGGTGGAGCGCTTGGACTGCTCGTCGCCATGCTCTTCGGCAGCCGAGAACACAGACGTGTCCCAACGCCTGCATATTGGCTGTTGAGGAGAGCCAGGAATCCTTGACGTCGCAAACGCGTCAGACAGTTCGCCTTGGGTGAGGGAGACCGTTGGGGATTTGGGATGGGATGGAATGAAGTCAACTGCCTTGAAGGGATGAGAGGAGGTTCCTGTCGTTGATGCTGGGTGCTTGGGATTGCTTGAACGATCTGACAAGGCAGCTAGCTGCGAGAAGAGACTCAATTGGAGGCTCTTGAACTTGCTCCTTGGGGATTTGAATCCAGGCAGACGCCACCCGAGCGTCTGCTTTTCCGTTGCTGAGGACAAATCAGAGGTCTCAGACCCGTCGAGCACTTCATCATAGCGGAGAGAGACCGATGTATGGCTGGAGTGAGGATCGATTGCATTGGGTGGGAGGGTGGCGGCGGCTGTCCGCCACAGAGCATTGATGACATGAACGACATGACGATATGCCGGCGAGCTGGGAGGAACGCCTGGACAGCTGACTCTCACGCACGGCCTTCAGCGCCGCGCAACCGGAAGTGCTTATCCTGAGTGTCTGTCTGGTCGACCACTGATGGAGGGGGCCGCCGCTTCCGATGATCCGAGCGGGGTGTGTTTGGCGGCAGAGAGCGTTGGGGAGAATGTGGTCGTGTGAACTGCCAGGAAGGAAGACGGCTCCTGTCGCCTGCAGTGTTGCGATGACACGAGCGATTTGGCGAGGAGATGAGCTGGGAGGACCGTTGGGGCTGCAGACCCTCGAAGACATCCTCCAAAGGACTGAGCCACGAAGGAGATTCCGGAGCGCCCTTCTGGTCGTCGTTTGAAGGGAGAGCTAAGGGTTTCTGCTGCTTCGGTCGGCTCGAGCACTCGTCTACAGAATATGGGACGATTTTGGGATTCAAGGCTTTCAATCCTGCAAAGCAAAGGATAAAAGCAATCTTGCAAAACACGCGAATTCTTTTGTGATTCAAATTGCCTTCAAGTTTCTCACCGTGTGGCACAAGATGCCATCGACTTTGGGAACAAAACACATGCGACTGGGGGCATCGCTCTATTGTTGAGCCCTCCAGGTGACTTCTTTCCTCCGCGGCGTGCAATGTTACGCACAACATGCCCTACTGCACAGCAGTGGTCCCAACCGGTTGCTTGACTGGCTGCTCCGTGGTTCGCCCGCCCACGTCCGCAGTCGGAGACGGGCTCAACAGGACAGACTTTGTCCTCCCCGTGGAGGGAAGAGTCTCGCTGGTCACCTGCGGCACATTGGCAGTAGCGGCCTGAGTTAGCGCTGCACCTCACTCCTGAGCACGTCTTTCAAAACTTGACAAGCTTAGAAAGACGTGCCCAAGCGGGGATCTCTTTGCTGCAATCATCACCATCATCAAGGAATCTTACACACCTAGGAGAGTGGGTAGCCATCAGAGCTGATGGCTACCTTGCTACTCATGGCTAGCAATAATGGCGAGGAAATCAGGTGATAGGGATATAAGGATAGCTCCCTATTTCACCATCTGCCTATTTCCTCCCTATCTCCTCGCTATTATCACTACCTATCAGTGTCACAAAGTGAGGCTAGATGAGCTCCAAACTGTTCACCAAACAGGGCAACGCTGAAACACCACGGGAAATGAGGGACAGTTGTTTTCCATTAGCGTGTGGATCTCCATGCAGCCCTAAAGGTTTGCTTTTCGCTGTGGTGGCGTACTCACTCAGTACTACTGAGGGTTGTGACGAAAGTGCCACATCACACTCGAAGGAGGCAAGATATGAGAGGAGACATGATGAACATCTGACAACGTCATTCGCAGCGGCTGGCGCAATACAGGCCAGCAACAACAGCTTTGAAGGGCACACTGCAAACATAAGGCGACGTGGCAGAGGCTTCTATCGCCGTGCAGCAATTGACAAGGTCAAAGTGACAACCATAACGCAGCACTGAGTCATTCAAAGCGATCTGATTCCGGATCAAGCCATTAGAATTTCATCCAAACTGTGCATCAGCAGTGCAATCCGCATGTGCAGATGATCAAATCACACTATCTTAACAGTGTATTTGGCCCCAATTTTTGCTAGTGACACGATTTTCCCTCACCTTAAACTCCGTGCTGACCGTTGCAACGACAAAATTCAGGGCCTCCTCTGCCATGCGCTCCTCTGCGGCCCCTTTGAATCTGACGACGACGGACACCTTCTGGCCCTTTTGCAGGAAGTCCCGCATCCTCTGTATCTTCTGCTCCAGGTCGTGGTCTGCTATCTTTGGGCTGTCCGCAACAACAAAGATCTGCATAAGCACTGCAGATCCCGCTCACAGTGCAACAACCGCATAGTTGTGACTGTGTGATACTTAGTAGTATAATACTTAGAAGTATGTGCCATCCTTTACTGGCGAAATTCCAAACAATCTTTAGTAAGATGCAGGGCCAGGAGTGCCTGCATGCACTGCTGCCATTGGGGGAACAAGCTGATGCAAGCGCTGCCTAGTGCAACGCTTTTTGAGAAACGCCAGTACAAGGCCCAGCGGAATGTAACATTTGACAGCCTAGTCAGTAGTTAGATTGTATTCCATTGTCCGCAACTAGATAGTATTCTGTTTTCAGATCCATATTCTAGAAATTTACCTGAACTGGCAGAACTGTGCGACTTACTCCGAAACACACCTTAGCCGCAGCTCCTTTGGTGAATCTAGTTTTGCGCGTAACCGAATCTTCTTCTCGATCTGCTTCTCGCCAAGCCTCTGGGCGTGCACATGCTTGGCGAAGTCCATCAGCTTGGCAACTGGAGGGGCCACATCCGGCACGACCTGCTCTGCAGCGGCAAGAATCACTGTCACTTGCATGGAGTGCACACTGCCCGCACAAGCATCACCTGCTTAGGGCAGCCCTTGTGCCTTATCTATCTGGGCAGTTTCCCTTTGGCTAATACCTCGTTTCGAAAATCGAAATGGCTTGCATGGCCAGCACTTGGCACATCTTGGTCGACCATCCAACAAGTGTCAACAAGAATTCAGCAGGGAGGTTGCCAGCATTCAATTGGCACTGTGGCCCTTTCCCTAAAAGCAAAGTCTCCTTAGCAATGAACGTAACCACACCCCCAAGGCCAAACTGCAAACGTTCCCACAGCAAAATACTGCAGCAGAAAAATATTGCCAAAGGTGCCCAAGTATTGTCTGTCTTTGCACTGAGTACACATGGTGCAGCTGCGAGCCGGTCAGTTATGTGCTCACTGTACAGGCAGATGTTTAGAGTGCATTCTGCACCAGTCATGTGGCGGCCCCATTACATGCTGGGACATCAGTGCAAAACAGTGCAAGCCTGGAAAACTGTGGCACTGACAACAAAGCTGCTACAGCCAGATGGCGCTCAGAGCCCAATAGAGTGGTGCCTCCAGCACAATCACCAAGATTACCAGATGGATTGCGCACAAGGAGCACACATGTGTCCAGAGCTTGAATGAGTCACTCTCTGGCACAAAGGCCCTGTTGGGATTAGTCAACACCATTCAGCAACAGTCCCATTCTGGGCAGCATCCCAATGGTGCCCGGAATGCACCAAAACGGGCATGGACAAATCCATTGTTGTGTTGTTGCCAGATATCGACAGCCATGCAGTTGTTTGCTTTCATCAACGACGTCGTTTCACAATCCCTTCCCCAATCTTAGGGGCTTGGCCAACATACCTCCACAAGGTCCAGCTGTTCGAACCTAGCCAATTTCAATGCTTCAACTCGCCTCATTATCTGCACAAGATGATACAAACTGTCAAGTTGGTCATTTACATAAACACAGATGGACCAGTAAAAACGTAGAAGTCATCTTCATAGAAATCCGCACATACAAATAAATACAACTGCATACTAATACACACAAGCACATAGAAATTTTACAAACAGAATCACATTTCAGCTGTCCAGCCTTGGAAACTGAAGATATTCATGCCACACATTGCATGTGCCCTATATATACTGGACTCAAGCCTTATGGATAGTGACACCCGAAGAACAGCACCAATTTGTGCATGCGATGCAAAAGCCTGCAAACTGGAGGGGTGAGGAGCTGCTGTTGAATGAACAATACATCCCTCAGCACAACAATCTTGAAGGTGACAATCTTGGCTCCACAAGGCCCACCTTGTGGGTGCCGTCAGGCAAGACGACTCGCAGCTCAGGGGCGAATATTCTATCATTGATCCTCACGTCCTCACCCTGGCCAATGCAATCGAAATGAACAAAATCTGTCAAACATCAGCACAAGCAAAGTCCAAGCAGCTTCAACGTGATTGAACAGTAATATCATCCATGACACCATCACCACACAATGGCATGCTCCACAATATGCTCGTACAGGCTGCAGGCAGTCAATTTTGACCTGTGCACTGGTATAAAGGAATGGCACTACAAATATGGATGGGATTGTACAATTATGAGATCATTCAGATATGTCATAATATCTTGTACATTTTGGCCTATTTGTCATACATATGGATGCTAGCACAAACCATATCGTTGCAATTAAACTGGAAAACTACGAAAACTCAAATTGCACTGTCAAAACTATTCAAAGATTACCAGATGGCCACAATTGCCATCAAGTGATTTTCAGCAACTCAATAAAAATCTAATAAAACAAATAAACACAACGTTCAAGATGTGAAGACACAAGGATTCATGCAGCAACCATGGCCTGAAACCAGGCAATCATTTATATGGAGGTCTGATACCAACCACCACTGGCCTATCCAAAGGCTCCCAGCACTTCACAAAGTCCTGTGAATCCCAGAATTGACTCATTAATGGGTGCTTCACATCTGTACTCGCAGCTGTTTCCATGAAACTTTCTGGGAGGATTTGAGAGCTGCAATTCGGCTCACACATTCCATGTGGGACAAGGGCACCCACTGAGGTATCTTTCGCCTCAGCTGCAATCAACAGCCCTGAAGCCCTGCTTGTATTCCAGACTACGACAGCGCATTTGAGAGCTCAGATGCCAACCACATCCTCCAAGAAGTGGTTTGGAGTTTGTGCCAACTCGCATCACGGTGCAAGAACTTTGATACACGTGAACACACAATTTTAATCTGTACAGTTGTAACGTTGAAACAGCCTCAAGCACTGCTATACCGGTGGCTGCTTCCGCGCAAACTTGGAGATGGACCTCCATTCCATGGCCGCAATGCGGAGTCCCCAGCAGTCCCATGCTTGTGGTTCATGATGCCCAAGGCCTAACAACAACTGCCTCAGGCATGCGACACACAGTCAGCTACTGGACCTTTCTTATGTGCGCTAACTTGAACACTGCGCAACACCTAATGCCACCCAGGTGCGATAGCCTTAAATCAGGTCAGTTATTGCTGTTTAATGATGTGTTCTTTCTCAGTTGCACATTTCACTGCAATGGGCGTCTGGGCCATGGACATGTTTGAGAATTAATGCCACATGATGTCAACGACTGAGTGACTTGCAATTCTTGGGTTGCCAAGAATTCTTTGGTTTCCCAGGAGCCATGGACAAAAGTTTGCACGCATTACATTTGAAGATGGACGAGCCATGTCCAACCAGTGTCAGTTCAATGTCCACCGGTCCTTTTGATCTTAGTTCCACACAACTTTCACTTGCACATTATGAAATGCAGACAACGTCCATTTGCACGATGTGGAAAGTTGGCATTTGTGGGAATTGTGTGCTGGACATTCTGGGTACAGTCATACAGCTGACATCGCGTTGCAGCCATGCTTTGGAGCTTCCTGGCAATGACAGCATTCGCACAACATGAAGTGGACTGTAATAAAATGCGTAAACAGAACATTGGCACCACAATAGTATGCAGCCACAATACATCACAAGATCTGATCAACAATTCCACCAGTGCAATCAAGTTCGAAGGTGCACTCCTGTCATATCATTCGCCTTTATTTCTCATTACAAAAAGTAAGTCACATTTCAGAGCCTGGGTGACCCCACCAAAAAACAGGGGGCTGATGACTGCTTCTGATGCTATTCCATTCCCAACCATCGTGCACTGGTACCACGTTTTGCAGATTCTCGCCATCCCTTCGCCCAGGGAAGGGGGGCCGGCTCAATTGTGTGACCTCTTTCTCCCAATTTGCTGCCAAGAACCAACTGGTTGTCATCCAACCCGATCATCTCCGGGCCAACCTTCCCCAACCAAGCACGGGCATCGTCCTCGCCTGACGACGCCGCTCGGCCAGCCCAAGCGCACTCTCCGCCATCCCCGCCACAGAACCGTCCATCGCACGCGCTTGGAGTCGGAACACGCATGCCGTCGCAACTTTCAAAGGGCCTTACCTGGCGCCCGGGGTGGGTCGCCGCTGCGGGGCACAACGCCCCAAGAAGCTCAGGCCGGACCGGTGCTAAGGGTTGGCGCTTGGGGCGCGCTCGGAGCAGCCTGAAGCAAGTCCTGGTGAGCATGCCAGCGCGCTTCGCCGCGGACTGCTCCAAACATGGCGATCGCAGGGACGGCGCCAAGGGGGGAAGATTGGTGGCAACATGCAGCGGATGGAAGCAATGTGCAGAGACAACAAATTGCACTGTTGCAGCTGGAACTGATTGAGCAGTACTAGCGGCTGGACGCATGGAGAGATGACGAGGCATTATTAGGAATTGCGTCAAGGATGCTGGTGAACGGACTGGATGTAAGGGACAGAATTCCTGTTGTCCCTTTGCTCGGCTGTAAGCCGTTGCGGTGGGCTCGAGCCTAGGGTCACCGTTCAGGGGTCGCCGCCCCTCGGCACTGCCTGCCTTCGTCGGCACCACCATGTTGAATTGGTGATCAATGTGATAGACCGAATTGTCTTAAAATTTGATGAAGAGGAATGTCGCTCGTCATTGCACGTCAATGCGAGCGTGTCTTAGTCTAGTGCGGACGGTATCTGCGCTGGACATAAACTGCATTATGATTTTCGGGGTGGTGGCCGTGTGGTTATTGCAATTGCGATGTGAAATCCCTTCCCGTTGCAGACCTTTGGGTGTACGAGTGTGGGAAGGTGGCGCTGGACATTGGTGAGGAGGGAAATGGTGAGCGTGTTCTCCATTGTGTGGTCATGTTTTAGTTTAGTTTAGTTTAGGGCGCCAATGGACACACCATGTCATTCCCGAGCCTTTCCATCCACAGCAGTTTCGTGTCGTTTCTGCTTCCTTCTTCTTTTCCCTTGGGGAGGACAGAAGGTTGGAACAACAGTCAAATGCGTGCCATTTTGGACGGCGGGTCCCGGGTCCCAGCAGTGCCGCCCAAACAGGATGCACTGCTGCAAGCAGGGGGGGTCTTGGGAGGCGACGACAAGCTGAAAAGGGAACGAGAGAAGTTCTTGCGATCCGGAGAGCTCAAAGTTCTTTGGGTGTTGGGGGCCATGGTTGTGGAGACACGAGGGGCGAACGGGATTGGCGATTATGTTGGGGCAAGTTGAAGCTTCATCAACTTTGCACGCTTTCACCCCTGGGGTGAACAGTTGGACCAACTGTTGATCTCCGAACTGGCAGCTTGTGCCTTCTAATGACATGCCTTGCTTGTCAACTCCATTGTGTAACGCTGACCAATCGTGGAAAAGTCTAGTTTTTTGTGTGAGCTGTGCGAATCTATATTTGCAGCGGAAGTATAGTCCCAAGCAATGGCTGCGCGTATCAGAATAGTGGAACACCCCGTACACAGACGGTTGGGGCACTTGCCATCAACAGAATTGTAACATAGAATATGTAACACAGATAACTAAGTTATCCGTAATTCCTCTAGAGGTGCAATTCTGCGAAATTCCTTTGTGTCCATCATACCTTCAAGCAATCAAAATCAGGCTTGCTGCTTACCCCGTAAAAACTGATCGTATTTACGTTTTTATGCATAAAAATACGTAAATACAATACAAAAACCCGGTGTACATGCCCGGTGCTGCCCGGTGTACATAAGGACAGTTCATACAGGCTTACGGAGTCCGGAGAGCAGCAGCCCTGGAAAGGACAGAAAACGAGTTTTTGCTGAATGCCACTACAGACAGCCCTTGCCAAGGGCGAAGTGGACACTGTGTTGCGGGTGCTGGAGATGGCGCAGGACTGGTCATTGTACGTAACATTCATCGTGTAACCTGGCTGTCCCAGGGAGCCGTAAAAACGTAAAAATAGCCGCAAAAATGGGCCCTTCTGCAAATTCACGTTTTTACGCATAAAAGCGTAAAACTAAAAAACGTGAGCGTAAACATAAAAACCAAGCCTGATCAAGATCATCAAGTAGGGGGGCTCATGACGTGCGCTTGACTATCCAATGTGGCACAGACTATCAATGCGACGTCGAACAGACACTTGCGATGGCACTACGAAAGACACAAATGGTGTCAATATCAGTGATGCGCTGAAGCGTGGCACCGTCGTCATTGGCGAAGATGTTTTTCGTTACAGAGAGCTTGTTCTGAGCGTTTGTGGTCATGTTTAAGCAAGGCCCCTGCTGATCCAATGCGCTTCTTTGGTGCACATAATTTGTGGCCAGTCATTAATACTCACTCTGCAATACTACTCTACATACTATTCGCTCTTTCAACTGCACTTAAAGCCTCCGAGCTTCGTATTGCGCCCTTCTTTCGAAACGGCAGCAGATCGTGTGGGCCGGGTGAGCGACGATCAAGGCATCTTTGCTTTAACAATAAGACAGGGGATTGTTGACAACAACGCAAACAGGTGTTCTCGTTGGGGTGAGCACTGGACACTGCACAATCTTTTCCATTTCAAGCAGTTTCTGCCTGTGTTCAACAATGTCGTGCTGCTGAAAATCACGGACTGGCTCCGCAATAAAATTAACCAATATACTTGTTTTTTTATTTTCATGCTCTGTCCATATTTGTTTGTTTTTCAGAGGCTTTGACCATGCGAATCAAACCATGCTGAAGCGGGACTGGATCATACAATCCATTGAGATTGGCAACTGTGATTTGGTCACAGTTTCATCCACAGATACCGGCAATGCCCACAAGCAGGCGGCCCCTCTACTCTCCTCGGCGGTGCGATGCTGAGTTAAGGAAAAGGAATTGCAACCAGCGGCGGAGTGAATTTGAACCCATGACGCAATTGAGACAGCGCTATTTGGTCGCGATTGAGACTGCGTGGCAATGACTTCTGCGTGGTCAGCAATTTGGCGCTGTGTTGGCACGCAACGAATCGAGCGACGTTGTGCCATTTAACGAATTTGGTCCTGCAACTTCACGGGCCAGGAGTGGCAACACCCGTTGCTCCAAAGAGAGGTGCACGGCGGTGCACCATGAAGGCAGCAGAGGATGGTTTCACCAGATCTTCTTTTACACCGACCATTGACTGCAACACAGCACGCACGACATTCCATCGCCCCTTTTTGAGTTTTCAACGTGCCACTGACAACCCTCCAAGATCTACAAAAATTCAATCCAGTCCGCGACTGTGAGCAAGGCGCCATGCATTTCGCCCGGGATGGATGGGCGCCGCAAAACTTACCCCACCCCACCCCAAAACCCCACCCATCCACCCTGGCGTCAGAGGCGGCTTCCACAAGACCTCGCCGCTTGGCAGGCTGGATAGCATGCATGACATTCCATCGCTCCTTTCGCAGTTCTCGACTTGCCACCGACATCCTTCCAAGACCCGTTCCAAGAAACGTTCATCCATTCCCTGATCAAGTCGCCATGCATGCGCCCCGGGACTGAAAGCACGCCCCAAAACTCACCCAACCTCACCTCCGCCCTCCCCAAAAGAGGAAGCGAAAAAGCCCGCCGACCCTGGCGTCACAGGCGGTTTCCACGCGACGCTGCCTCTCGGGGCGCTGGGCGCGGCCAACCCAACGTGCGCCACGAGGGCTCCGCCGACGTCAGCAGTGGGGATACATCTTCCCGCAGTCCAAGCTCTCGAACCCCGGCGGCAGCGCGTCGTTCTTGGGCAGGTCGTCGTCCGCGTCCGCCACCCTGTGCACGTAGTAGTTGTGCCCCATCGGCTTAAGGCCCTCCAGTCCCAACACCCTCCCGTCGGGGCCCCTCTCCAGCGCCGTCAAGGGGCAGCACGTGCACTCGAACCCCTTGGGGTTGATCTCCCCGTACAGAGGGGACGCGCACACCCTGCAGTGGTACCGGACCACCGTCTCGCTCGTCCGGAACGACCCCACGAACTCCTCCGAGCCGGCCTTGGGCGTGATGGCGCCAGGGGCGAAGTACACGAATCGGGCAAAGGGCGCGCCGTGCAGACGCTGGCAGATCGTGCAGTGGCAGTTGTAGACCATCACGACGGGGCCGGCCGCCTGGAAGCACGCCTTGCCGCAGAAGCAGCCGCCGTTCAGCGTGGGCGGCTCCGCGGCCTGGCCGCCTTGTTGGCCAGCGTCGCCGTCCATTGATGGGTGCCGTGCAATGACGCTGACCCAGGAGGCTCGCTGACGAAATGGGGGTGCACCGCACCAGGGACGGGTCGATCGACAAATCCGCAGGGCCTCTCGCTATTTGTGTGCCGCCAGCGGCTGCCTTAAGCACCCCAGTGGCGTTGGCTGGCTGACGGAAGGGGGGTGTAAGAGTGACCGTTGCCTTCAGGACAGGCGCGGCCTGCATTACGTGCCGCTTTCGGTCGGATCCCGAAAGCACCGCAGAATCCAAACCGTTACTCTTTTCCCTGCCAGTTGCTTTTTCTTTCTCCAGTCCCCCTTTTTTCTTTCCGTTCTTATTTTCCCCATCGGCTCCCAGCTCCTGCACGCAACAAAATGGTCTGCCAGGCGCCGGGGAGCTGCAGGCGGCTGGCGGCGGAGTAACCGCGCTCCTGGAGCGCCTCCCGAGCGTTCGGACACCACAGGTATCGCCAACGTGTCCATAACAGTCGGTGCATTAATCAATTTCACGGGAAACACGGCCCCGCCCATGTCCGCAAAGGAGCGCAGGTCTCGCGCCGACCCAGGGGCACAGGGGGAAGCTGTGACAAAGCTGTACCTGCAGCCAGTCTCGGCCCCCTGACGAACACCGCTGCGCGCAGTGCCAGCGGCACCACAGGCTCACATCCCGCCAGGAGCGACAACCGCAGTCGTGCCATGGGCACAGGCCACGCAATCACCGCCTTTTCCTGTGAGGAACTGTGAACTGAGGCTGCGAACTGTAAACCGAGGAATCCTTGCCATGGACCACGGTGCTCGCTGATGTCTCCGGCTGCACAGGAACAGGAAGGCGACTAGGACACCCCAACGCCAGCTGACCATCCACCTGGCCACATTCTTTCCTCAGAAGCTGGTCTCGAATTCTGGCGGGGCGCCGTGGTGCCTGGGCAGGTCGTCGCCCACTTCCACCATCCTGCTTCCGTAGTGCGTGTGAAAGGTCGGCCGCAAGCTTTCGCAACCGACCGGCCCTCCCGTGGCGCCCGTCTCAATCACCTGGGCTGGCACCTCGACGCACTCCACCGCCCCATTCCACAGCGCCTCGCTGTAGACGCGCGAAGCGCACACCCTGCAGTGGTACCGAATCAAACCCGCGCTCGACCGGAACTCGTCCACAAACTCCCGCCCCGTAGCCACCAGGCTCCCGGGAGGGAACTCCAGCCACACGACGTAGGGCGCGCCGTGCAGCCGCTGGCAGGTCGTGCAGTGGCAGGTGTAGCGGCGCGTTGGGCGCCCATCGACGCGGAAGGCCACTTTGCGGCAGAAGCAGGACCCCCCGAAGGCGGGCTTTGGCGCCTCGCGGCGGTCCCCCTGCTCTTCAGGCAATTCCGTTGATGGAGGGCTCATCGGGTCGCGCGAAAATGGAGCCGGCTGGGACAGTGAAGAATCCCTTCCTCTTAAGAGCATTCTTTATCGGTGGGTGCTATTGTCCCGGCGGAGCTATTCGGCTCTCCGCATAGCACCGCACGTCAAAAAAACATCATTAACGGTTGGGGAGCAATAGCACCCCAATAGCACCCCCGGAGCTATTCGGCACCAAGCGGCGCTATTTTGGCCCCGAATAGCACCGCTCGGGGCCGAACAGCACCCCAGAATAGCACCGGTGCTATTCGTACAGAACATTGCAGTGCTGCCGTGATGCTATTCTGCGTAGGCATAGCACCCACCATTGCGGATGCACGCAGAGGAGCAGTAGCACCGGCGCTATTTGGCAACTGCCGCCTTAGTAAGGTGGCACGGCAGCCAATGAGAACCGTTCCTGGATAACTCCGCTGGTGCAATAGCGCCGACCGATAAAGACGCTCTAAGCCATAAGCCATAAGCTAAGCCATAAGCTACTTTATTCTCAGTTGCAGTTGCATGAGTGAGACCCTGTCGGAACAACGCCAGGGACTTCGATGTTCGGTCCCGCACAGTTGACGTGGTCCTATTTGATTGCACTTGGGTCCATGCAGCAACAACTTCGCGTTATTAGTCAGCAACTTGGCGTTGCGATTGCACGCAACGAACTGAATGGCGTCGGGCCATGCATAAGTTTGGCATCAAGATTCTCCGGCAAACCCCCGATATCTGTTACAGAGAATGCTGCACGGCGGTACCCCATAAAAGCAGCCGAGGCTGACCAACTGTCCGCTGAAGGGCAGCATTCACATGGCCCTTCCTTTCCAGTTCCCAGGCTGCCATTGACACCCCTCCAAGACCCCTGAAACTTGGCCACAACCCACAACTCCCACCAAGTCGGCATGCAGTTCGCTTGTGGTGAGTGGACACCCCGGCACCTCCCCAGCCACCCACGCCCCGCCCCTGGGCCCCAGGCGCCGCCGCCGTGCGACGTTGGCTCTTGGCGCGCCGGACGCTGCCAATCCAAAACGCGCCGCGACGGCGCGGTCGGCATCAGCAGTGGGGAAACATCTTCCCGATGTCGAGGTCCTCACACCCCGGAGGAAGGGCGTCATACTTGGGCACATCGTCGTCCACGTCCGCCACCCTGTGCGCGTAGTAGTTGTGGGCCTCCGGCTTCAGGCCCTCCACGCCCAAGACCCTCCCGTCGGGGCCCCGCTCCAGCGCCGTTAGGGGGCAGATCACGCATTCGAACCCCTTGGGGCTCACCTCCCCGTACACGGGAGACGCGCACACATTGCAGTGGTACCGGACGGTGGCCTCGCTCGTCCGGAAGGCGCCCAAGAATTCCCCCGATCCCGGCCTGGGCCTGATGGCACCCGGGGCGAGTTCCAGGAAGCGGGCGAAGGGCGCGCCGTGCAGGCGCTGGCAGACCGTGCAGTGGCAGTTGAAGACCGACTCGACGGGGCCGGTCGCCTGGAACGACACCTTGCCGCAGAAGCAGGCGCCGTTGAGCGTCGGCGCCTGCGCTGCCTGCGTGGCTTGCTGCCCAGCGTCCATTGCGGCAGAGAGGGCGAAGCGGGCAGCTTGCTGACGCGATGTGGGTGAGCCTGACGGGGCGGAGGTCGATCGCCAATCGCAGGGCGCCACGCTATTTATGTGCCAGCGGCCTCCATGGGGTGGCTGGGTGACAGCTGCGGAAGAGTGAGGGTTTGACTTCGCAACAGGGCACACTAAATCTGCATAAAGTTTTCGTCCGTATCTCGAAAACGGTGCCAAATCCAATGTTCACTCTTTACTTTGTTCGTAGCGCTTGCCCTTTTCTTAATGAAATCGAGGGCAAGAGAAACGAAAAAGGATAATAGGGGAATTGATCAGTTCCATCCTCTATTTCGCTTCTTTCTCTCCTCAACCCTGGCTCCCCCCTCCCGCGCACAAGAGTGTTTTCCGCCAGGCGCCTGAAAGCCGCAGACTGCCCACAGACCACGTGCAGCCACGATCTTGGCGCGCCTCCTCCAGCGTTTGGACAGCCCCTGGTTGCCAACGCCGACGTCACCATCCGTGCATCAAACAATCCTGGAAGAGGCAAGGCTGCGCCCGCTTCTGTAACGGGCAGGTCTCCTGACGACTCCAGGGGCCATCGGGTACGCTTTGAAAAGGTGGCAAGTTCAGCCAGCAGTATCATGGGCTCGTATCCTGCCCACAGCGACAACCGCCTTTCGTCCATTCCCTGCTTTGGTTTTCATGTGTTTCTTCTAGTTTGTGTTCTTGATTTATGCATTCTTCTCTTTATTCACGAGGTCTCTGACATACACCCGGCCAGCGCCCGTCAAGCGCTACCACACGAAGAAAAAGGCATAACGTCTGGAAGAGTCGCTGCCAACGGTCTCCTCGCTGTCAAGACAGGAAAAGAGAATCCTTTTCTATTTCCAGCGAGGACACAATGTTGAAGATGGGCTGGTATGCTGTTTTACGCACGACTCTGTGTGGAGTACCACAGAGGCGGTGATGCACTCCACTCCTTCACAGCCACTGGACCTGGCCCATGCCCACAGGCAAGGAGCGGGCAGTGCGTGCTGATCGTCTTGTGGAGGTGAATGCAAGCAGAGGGGTCCAGGCAATGTTTGACTGTGCTGAGGGCGGTGTCCACATGGGCTGGGTGCAGGACAATAGCTGGAATGGCGTCCAGTAGCATTTGCACGTTTGGTCAACCCAGACGAGCTAACAGGTGCCTGCATGAGCCTCAAGACCTTGCGAACTAAATGCAAGGAATTAATTTGCAATCATAGACTGTGCCCTTGCACGTGGCGAACGTGAGCTAGGCGACTATGGGTGTCTCGGTTGGAGCCACCAAGGGAAGGAGTTGCCCAGATTTTGGAAGCAAAAGACCTGCCTCGTGTGCTATTGTATATTGTCAACACCCGGGGTCAAGAATCAGGTCAGCAAAGCAAAATGCCACAATGGTATACATCCCTTCTGCTCCAACCCATCGTTTTTGGCCGTTGGCAAAATAGAGTAACATGTTTGACCCAATACAATCATCATGGCATGCTCACAATGCCATTCTTGATTGAATCGGCGGTGTCCTCCATGGGCATTTCCAATACGGCCATCCAGATCAACCCGTGAGGCACTGCCAGGTCCATCAGCAAATGGGGATAGGACTTCAATGCATTTGTTGAATTGATAAGATGCAGGAATCATAGATCAAGGCATGAAAGTGTGCAAACTTGCAAGAAGCGCTGCTGCGGCCAGCATCTCAGGCCCCGTCAGACTGGCAGCCTCTGTCTACGCAGCTAGGCACCTCAATCCAGCACTGATGCGACTGATGTGCAAGTTGTCCTGCCCTACAATTAAATAGCCACAGGGATCCACAACAGTGCAATGAGCACAAAGAAAAGCCCTTGTCCACACTGGCGCCCATTCCTCAACCCCGCCCACTCAAATGCAGTGTGCCACCACGCTTCCCATGCCAACCCAACTCCCCAGCCTCTCGCACCTCCTTCCCAACTACCTTTGAATACTGGAGGAAAAGGAGGAACAATACAGGAGGGAAAAGGAGGGACGTGGCCTCAACTGTTGGCAATTCCCAACCCCCGGCCCTTCCCACCTCACACCCACTCCCTCGGGTTCCTGCAAGCGTCCAGCAGGTCCGCCTCCGGGCTGCCGGCCTCGGGCTCGTTGCAGTACTCCCACCGCGCGGTCAGCGGCAGCGACATCAGTATGCTCTCTATCCGCCCGGCCGTCTTCAGCCCAAAGGTGGTCCCCCGATCGTACACCAGGTTGAACTCCACATACCTCCCCCGCCGCAGCTGCTGCCACTCCTTCTGCGCCTCCGTGAACGCGTCCCCCTTGTGTTTCTCCACCAGAGGCAGATAGGCCGGCACCACGTGCGCCACGCAGTCTTTGGCAAAGTCGAACAGGAGCTCGGGATCCCGGTCGTTCAGGTCGTCGAAGAATATGCCGCCCAGGCCCCGCCGCTCCCCCCTGTGCTTGATCTCGAAGTACTCGTCGCACCATTTTTTAAACCGCGGGTGGAATTCGGGATCGTGGGCGTCGCACACGCGCTTGTACGTCCCGTGGAAGTGCGCCAGGTCCTCGGCGTCGATGTAAGACGGCGTGATGTCCGTGCCGCCGCCGAACCACCACTGCGCCGGGAAGTCCCCCCAGGGCTCCGTCTCGAAGTACCGGTAGTTGAAGTGCATGGTAGGCGCGAATGGGTTCCTCGGGTGCATCACCGACGATATGCCCGCCGCGAAGAAGGGCACCCGCCCCTCCCCGCCCGATTTGCCATTGTCCGTGGCGCCCGTGGCCACGCGGTACGCCTCGGGGGGCATCGTGCCGTACACCACCGACACGCTGCAGCCCGCCTTCTCCCACACGTTCCCGTCCTGCAGCACCCTGCTGATGCCGCCCCCCCCGCCCTCCCTCGTCCAAGAGTCCTCCCTAAATTTCGCGCCGTCCAGCGCCTCAACCGCCGCGCAGATCTCATCCTGACCCGATCGGATCATCTTCTCGAACTTCGCCTTCATCCCTCCATCGGAATCTCCCAACCCCCTGAGCAGGCTGGCCGGCGCCGACTCGACGACCACCTCCTGCGAGATGCCCGCCTCGTTGGCCATGGCGGGCCGGGGGACCCGCCCAGGCCGGGGCGGGGCCAGGGATGCGGGCCTGGTGGCCGGCTGGGCTCGGGGGACCGGGCGGCGGGCGCTGCAGGCCGCCTGTTTGAGCGGTGAGGCGCGCAGCATGGCTGGGCGCCGCTGCGGAGCCGGTGGGGAAAGGCAGGGGAGGGCGTCGTGGGAGCGCCACTGCAAGAGATGCAGATTTCTTAATGGTTGCTGGGGGCCTTAAGGGGGGGTGCGTTGCGCTTTTTTCGTGGCTTTCCTGTCCCGATTTGTGGTAAAGTACGGAAGAAAAGTAAGAAGGCGCTGACTAAAGTGCCCAAAGTACGGACTAAAGTGCGGACCATAGTGAGGACCAAAGCCAGGACCGCGGGGGGGGCCAAAGTGCTGAAGTACTGAAGTGCCGAGAGCAAGGAATGAAGCGAGGGGAATGGCGAGCGCAAGGTGCAAAAGCGCACCCTGACCACCGCCAAACGCGACCCGCTGAGGGCAAGCGGAGTGGCGGCCGCAGTGTTCAGGTTGCGGCGCTCGACGCGAAGCCTGTCGCTGCGGCATTCGGACTCCGTTCGCCTCGCCGCCCTTCGACCCCAGCTCGATTCGCGTCAGCTGGGGATCCCTGCAGCCACGCGGCGCCGCGGGATAGGAGGCATTGGCCATGTCTGGCGCGATGGGCGCGCCCGGCGCGGGCGTGCGTCGCGGGCCCGGCGGCCGGACTGCTGCCGAGCTGGAAGGGCCAGTGCCACAAGGGCGGGGCGTCGGCGCGCCGAAGCCATTTGGACCGCAACGCGGTAGGCAGGCCCCAGGTGTGTGTGGATTCATCGCCGCAATGCGCAAGTCGGAATTTGACGCGCAACGGGCCTCCCATCACATCGGCGTTGCAGCTGAATGAAAGAGGGACTGGGAAGCGAGCGGCTGCGGGCGAGCGCCCCAGCAGAAGCGCACAGAGCATTGGCTACAGGATTGTCCGTCAAGAAATTGAGGCAACAGCCACGTGACGTACGGCAGCAGCGCAGTTAGCGCAGCCCTTGCGCCCTTGTAGGGTCCTGCAGATCTGTGACAGGCAGTAGCGCACGCAAGCCGTGTTCAGAATGAGCTCTCAATAACCGTGAGAGCCAAGAACGGAGCATTTGTACAATGGGGAAGTTCATTTCCTCAAGTCCCAGCAAGGGGGCAAGCTAGTCGGGTGTCGATTGATTGCAGTTCTGCAGCCCTTTCCTGCGGTTTTGTGCCGTTGTGTACGTTTTGTTTGGTTCTTACCTGCCGGAAGGGGCAGCGCTGTTGCATATCCCTACAAGCTGCCCCACTTGCTGCATTTGGATGACTTTCTGCATGTTGCCCTTCATCACCTTTCTATCGCATGGAATGCTTGGTAGTGAATGTTAGGTCCTCTGTGTTGTGTTGCTATCTTATTGCACTCAGAGACTTCTGCATCATGTTGTGCATTGTGGAGTGGGGTCTGGCAACAGGGCTCCTTCTGCAGGAGGGTGTTCATACTTTGACATAGCTTTCCTATCTGCTAGCTGTGAATTTTGTCTTCTCTGGTGACGTGGGTCAGAGTGTTGGTTGGCGAGCACTGTGAGGACTGCTAACATAGTGGTGCTCTCTGATCGTTTGGGTTGGTGTGGACATATGCCAAGCCTATTTTTCGCTTCTTGCAGTGCCGTTTACTGATGCATTGTTCATTCCTTGTGTTGGAAAGACCATGCATGTTATGTTCTTGGTCACCACAAGTACAACAATAATTTTGCCACATTCTTGTGAAGAACATTCTTTATGTCAAGCGAAGTAGCCAAAGTCCAGAATCCCCATTTCCAGCTCCCCACACGCGACTTGCATCTTGATGCAACTCTGATTAGTGCATTCTCTTTGTGTGTGTTGGATTTTTCGCCAAGTTGGGAGTGAATTTCACATACTGTACTTCGGGGCACTTCGAAGTATGTTTTTTCTACTGCCTTCACCAGACAATGCGGGTCCATGCACCATACTGGCGATGATATATCCTGGTGGATATATTAACAGCAAACATATTTTTATTAGCCTCTGCAGCACTGTTCATCCCATATGTGCTGCAAGTGCTTGGTTTATCATTTTGCTCTCAGCAATATTTTGTCGTGGCACACAACAATACCATAGTTTTCATCTGCTGCTTACAGACTGCAAGCTCTGGAACATCATAACATTGGGTAGCTGACTTGGAAAATGCTTCATCTCAAGCAGATGCCTCAACCAATCGTAATGAGAGATTAAAGAAGCGGAAGAAGAAGACGATTCGGCCCTATAAGTCTCCCTACGGCTGTGTCCCCAAGGGCAGGCCTGTGCCACCACCCCTGTCCTCCCCACCCTTCATCCCCCTGGAGTCTCCAACACCGCCAGAAGGCAAAATGGAGGCCTCAACTTCCGACATGCCTGAAATGTCACCGGAAGAGGCCATGTTGGAAGTACTGACAGCAGGATGGGATTTGAGCAAGCTGGGAATAGACAGCGCTCCCGTCAGTGCCTCCACCCAGTACCACAACTTCAACTTTGAAAGATCAGGGTACGGCAAGACCTTCCAAGGTATGCTACCAGACACAGCAGCCGTCAGGGCGACTGTGACCGACGACTATGACACATGTGAGGAATGGGCTGACTCATTCCTGAGGAGAGATCTGCGTGTGCTTGGCTGCCAACTGTTCCACGGATTCCTTGACAAGCCCCTCCCTCCACCTCCCCCGGGCATGCGCCCAAAGAAGAAGTTTCGGAAGGAAAACGCCCTCGAGTTGCCAGCCACCCTGCCCCCTGAAGGGCCTCTGAAACTGAGGGAAGGTGGGTCGGTGATCGCCCTCTTGTGCCTTGCGACGATGGACGAGGTGCTGATCGTGCAGTTGAGGCAGATGGCGGCGATCGGGCCAAAGTTCAGGATGCTGCTTGAGAATCCGTTTGTCAGGAAGGCAGGCCACCACTTTGGGATGAACCAGCAGGTGTTAAGGCAAGACGGTGTCCAGGTCATCTCTGGAGATGAGGTCATCCAGGTGCGCAGTGTTGCCTGTTCCTGTATTCTCAGCTTCCGTGTGCCAATCCTCAGTTGCTAAGTTTGTCCAAAATACAGAATAAAATGCTGCTCCAGCACCTGTCAGGTGGTGGCTGGCACAGTTTTTGGAAATAAAGTACGGCCTTTGCAAATGCTGCCCACATTGCTGCCAGCATACACTCCTGTTGGCAAGCACCACCTTCCACCAATCAAGTGCCCCCCTCCCCAGCCCAGAAGATGCGATGCACATTTCTTGCCGCCCTGCAAGAGAATAGGAGAAATATCAGCCACCAGCAAGGATTTACTGAAGGGCATCAGCACAACAAGCGTGATCTGGAGAAGTTTCGCAGGGTGTGTTTGTTGCCGAGCTGGCCTGTGGAGATTGCATGCTTGTACTTCCACTGCTCCCCATTCGAAATCTGGGCAACCTTGTCCTCCAGCCACCAATCTTTTGACAGTATGTGGCAAAGATGGACAAGAGCAGAAAGGCAAAGTGTTTGCAACGGGAAACCAGGATGCAGTCGTTTCATCAGTTTGCTTGCTGATATGTCCTCAAAACTCGAGCGCTCTTCCACACTGGATTGCTTTCATTATCTGGATGCTACAATCTTATGCAAACATATACCCAACGTTAGTGCAAAGTAATGTTTCTGGCAGGGGGGCTGGGTGTGGTCTAATGTACAGTTGCAACTGCAAGATGATCCAGCTCCCAGTAAACTCTATCCTATTGGTTTTGGCGAGGTGAGTGTGCACTTTCTGAAATCCTTGCTCAACTTCTAGACGGGCTTTCTTGGGAACGTGTGGTAGGTTGTTTTGGAGAAGGTGCAGCCCAAGCATGTGCGCCGCAAGGTGCAGGAAGTGCTCCAGCGTGCAGGTTTTGAGAAGCTCGCAAAGTCTGTCGCTGGTGTTGACGTGCAGCCGCCCATGGGAGTCATGGCCTACATGTGGGGAGAGAAGGAACTGACAGTCGAGATGGTGGGTTGTTTTGCGGAGCACAGCGTGGCAGTGCCAGAGAACACATCAACTGCCCAGAATTGATTGCACATGCATCAGCAGCTGTTCACAGACTTGAGCATCGTTTATTGCACATTGTGCACTGTGCTTGGGCATCGTTTGAGTACAGTAACACGTTGCGAGGTCATTGTGATATTGTCCCACACTTTGAGCGCATAGGTACTTGCTTCCCACCAGCCACAGAATTTTGCATCCTGTATGACATGCCTGTGAAGGAACCTTCTTGTGCTTGGTGAACAAGCCTCTGCGATCTTGTTGTCACGTGCCATTTGCAATTTGCATTCACATTTGTTGGTGCACTTGCATTCACATCTGTGTGAGAATTTGATCACATGTGGTAATTTTGGTTGTGTTCATTGTGTCGTCAGCAGCTTTTGGCCCTCCAGACATGCCTGCCAACTTGTCCCTGTTGTTCCCTTTGTCCCTAGGTTGAGTTTGCCGCAAGGAAGGCGTGGACATGCTTCGTGATGGCCACCCTGCTCAACAATGTCAAGTCCGAGGAGTTACCACTGATCGGGGGAATTGGCTCAGCGACCCCGGCCACGGATCCTGAAATCAACCGAATTGCGCAGCAGTCCCTGAAGCTTGGGGCGCAGGGTAGCGGTGTGGCGGGTGGTGCTTGACCCAACGCCAGCTTCTTTATGAAGTCAGGGAGTGGCATAGATTGCTCGTCGCCTTGTGTACATTGTTGCAGTGTTATTCATTCACTTAATAAGGATGGAATGCAGGCTCTCCAATTATGTGTGCTGGGGCGGGGAAGCATAAATTCTGGATTTAGGGTCCCCATTGCGTATATCTAACACATGAGAATCGTTGCTAACGCGTGCCTGATTGGATATGTACGCCTCTACCATGGTGTACGTTTGACACAAACGATGAGTACTTTCTTTGGGCTTCCTGACACAGGAGCGTGGTGGACGACTCGTCCCTGCTGATATCGGTGTCCTGTTGCTGCGTTAACAAGAACTTGTATTCAAATGCAGTGGCCAAAACAGCACTTGAGTAATGCTGCCGGCTGTTGTGATCCGTTGATATGGGTCCCAAGGCCGGCATGTACACTTCCCACTCCACCACCAGCCCAAAAAAGCAAAGAAAGAAAAAAAAAACACTTGCTCCAGCCTGGTCCAGCCTGACGACGATTGACCAAACGGGGTCTCTGCAATCATGCACGTACATCGATATTGGGCGCAGCGGCGCAACTCCTGCAAGGGATCGAGTCCGCCCCAGCGCACCAGAAAAGAATATCGCCTTACGTTCTCATTCATTGACAGCAAAGTACTGCCTCTGCACTTTACGTGTCACGCTTGTAGAGCCAGAAGGCAAAACTATATCATCATCACCATCATCATGAAATTTTAGGTGACAAGGCAATGTGGTGGCCGTAAGCTTGGCATCTTGGCCCAGCAAAAATTATGTCAGGATCTCTCTGCGGCTGAATCGTACCACACAGCGAGGGCCTTCCAGGAACCGCCCACAGTCGTCGCCCCTGGCCCCGCTAAGCACGCCCGCGTTGCGGGGCCCTTCCTCTCTCACACACACGCACCTCGCCGAGACGATGGAGTTCGAGATGACGCCAGTCGCGATGGATGTAGGCGCTCGGCTGCGCGGCAAGCGGAAGCACGACGGTGGCAGCCCGTGCGCCGGTGGCGACAGGCGGGACGCCGTCGCCAAGCGGCAGCGCGCGGCAGCGCGAGACACCACGCCGGGTACGCCACGGCCACCCGCCCTTCTTTAGATGATCTGAATCTGGCGGGATGTTTTGTTATTTGGTGGATGAGCGGGGAAGGATGGCGCCGGGAGGGTGGGGGGTGGGGGGTTTAGAGGCACAAAAGAGAAACAGGTCACACAACGGGCAACCATTCTAACCAAGTGCGCGCCAGACTCTTTTTCCATGTTGTGAGAAGATGATGTTCGGTCTCCGGTGCAACAAGGACAGCACACGACGCAGAGGAGTGTGGGTGGGTGGGTGGGTGGGGGATGTGGGCCGTTTGTTGCTGACGTCCGCGGTGGCGGTGCAGGGATGGGAGGCTGGACCGTGAGCAGGTCGATTCTGGGCAAGTTGGGAGGATTCGCGCTGCGGTCGGGGTGCAAGGTGGGTGTCAGGGCGTCCTCGCGCGAGCGACATGGGGCGGTGGCCGCTTTCCTTTGCTGGTTTTGTTCTTGCTGCGGCTGTTCGAAAGTCGTGCGTCATGTCGTCGAGCCCGCGGCGCCGCGTGCGGCCCGCCGCGCTCCAGCCGGGACACCGGGACAGAACGCGGCGGGTGCGCCATGGGGATTAAATCGTGTCGAAATGGCGGGGCCGCGGGAGAAAGCACGACGGCAAGTATCTGGCGCTGTTCAACGCCGCGCGCGAAACAGCAACACAGCGAGCCGCCGCATTGCTGCCCCGTGATCGCGACATTCCGAGCATGTCCGCGAGCTGAAGCCCCGGCCTGCGAAACGATCGGGCGCCCGCCCCCCTGAACGCGCGCGTGTGAGGCGGCGGATGCGTGCCAATGGTTGGGACGATCTGCGGCTGGTGTTTTGGCGGGTTGCGTGCATGGCTTGTTGGTGGGGCGGCGCGGTGCGTTCAGGGTGGCTAGCGACGCGCATACGAAAGCGGGGTCACCCGAAGAAGTGCTTGCTCGGAAGACGGGACCACTCGTCGCTGGGTTCTGTCGTGTCGGGGTACTGCACTGCGTTCACGAGTGCTGGGTAGATGTTCGGCAATGCGGTGCTTGCCATGTTGTGCACGGTGGTGCTTACGTGCTTCTATGTTCGTCGATTCTAGCCTCCATCGCAACCTGTCGTTCTGTTTTCATCTTCTTTCACTTCTTGTGTTTTCGTCGTTCAAATGAAAGTACGCTGAAGCGATCTGTTCTAAGAAAGCCTGCACAGTGAAAAGAGAATCAAAAAGCGTTCGCCTTTGCTTTATTTCTAGTCGTTTTGTTTCTTTGCCTCCTTCAGACTGCGGGATTATGGTGACGATATGGTTGGGACCAAAGGCGATGACAGTGCACGCTCAGCACCAGTCCAAAACAACTGCCACAGTGTTGCCAACGTAAAGATACCCAATTGCGAGGTAAATGATCAAACTGAACATGGGATGTTCCATACAAAACTTGCTTACATCGCTTCCTGCTTTTGAATAGACGCCTAAGGGTGGGAGTCTTCTGGACGGCAGCGTGGTTTTCGCACTGCAGAACTGTCAGTCCTACAGACGATTGGTGTGTCCGTAACGTATCCCAAGGCAGCAAACAGTGGGGTAGAAAACACCAGCGAGAGGGGTAACATGGCACAACTAATCGCCTTGCGTTTGAAATGTCTGACCTTTTTGGCACGTCTCGTGCTACTTATTAATGAGGCACTGCGGTGCCCGATTTATCGCAATGTAATTCAACGAAATATCGAGTCGAATTTTTTGCCTGCAGCGCCAATTGCAGCAGTGGGGAAGCCTTGTCGGTCCGTCCCAATATTTTGTATGGTGCACACGACCCTGGCTCGCTTTTTGGCCACACCATCGTGGACTGAGCGAGCCTGCATTGGCACACTGTCTCACGACTGAATACATACCGCCACGAAGTCTTTCCATCAGTCGCGCTCTCTTGCCTTGGACTCATCTGGACGACCGTCGAGCACTTCTGAATTTACTGGGCAATGAACAAAATCTCAAAAAAACGTAGGCCATCTCAACCATTTCACTCCTCATTTCAATCCCGGACATTGCGCATGTGGTATATTGTTCATAGTAGAGGAAATCGCCTAAGAACGACCAATTCGTGTAATCTTTAGTTAGTGGCATTGGCTTTAATGCGTTTTACAATTCAGTGCCATGACTGGTGACGCCGCAGTTTTCAAATGGCGGTAGCAGCTCCTGTTTGTGGGCAACACTCTTTTTAAGATTACAAACAGTCTTTCCGTTGGGTGCCTTTACGTCTTCATGCTTTTCGTTCTGGACTGTTTTTAATTGTGCCTAAACAGTTTAAGCAGCTGATGCTCTGTAAACGAGCAGAACAAGATGTCGGCACCCTGTTCCGGGTTGTGCACAACGGTATTTTGAAACATCCACGTCTTTGTTTTCCCTTTCATCCAAGATATTGTATCGTATTCAAAACAGCTTCGCTCGCAGGCGGAAGGAACTGGCAAGCCTCCCGCCTTTTCAGCCACACCCGTTTGCAAATCTTCCGCCACTCCCCGAGATTTTGGAGGTCCCAGGGTGACCCCCCGGCATAGAACGACAGGCTGTGGCGCCGGCGTTCGGCCGCCAGCCCCCATGTTCGCCCCCAAAGCCCCACCACAAGGTCAGTACCCATTGGGAAATAATGCCATCAAAACCCGGTGAAGATCACAGAAATGGCGTTCATTTGTGGAGTCCAAACTGAAAGCAAACTGTGTCTATTGTGCCAAAATATAAACACAAATGGAACCTGCATAAATGGACAATAATTTGCCTTTGACAGACCAGAATCCACGAAAGACGTCGTTGGCACACCGTATGGACAAACCCACACGTAGCAACACTTCGTGGCACGGCCTTTCATATTCCTTGCCCTACATCTGCTGTTGCAGCACTGCAAATAAATATTACACAATTTGGGCGATACAGCGCTCCCAAGCACGGACGCAAAATATGTGCAAGGGGGTATAATACGGAGTGGAATTGTCTGCAACAGGTGATGCAGAACGTAAATATCTGACAGAGAATGGCCAACAGTCGACAAATCAGATGATCATGGATTCCTTGCAGGCCAATCTGCCCTGGGAGCAGCATTTGCGGCTGCGGCAACGCCGCTTGCACCTCCATTCCGAACGCGCGCTGCCCCGGCAGCGTCTGTGCCATTTGCTGCTTTCGGTACGCCCTTCGCGGCTGCCCCGACCCCTGCACCGCCCTCTCCCCGCACTCCCCGGACCCCCCTCACCGGCATCGCGGACCTCTTCCGAACGCACGCGGCCGCCGCTCCAGTGAAGGCTCGAGGCCGCATGTCTGTCAGGTCGCACCCCTCACACGCTGTACTAATTTCGGCACGTCAATTTGCACTCGATTAGTAGTTATGTAGAACAATGGTGGGCGTTAATTAATGCAAATATTTAAGCACTGTGACTTAGGCACCAAGAGCGACGTTCCGATTGACCGATTTGGCTCTTCTTGCACAAGGTGTGAATATCGTGGCGCATATTGCGGCTCCCCAATGGCAGCAATGCGCGATGCTCGGAAGTTGGATACTGATTTGTCGGGCACGAAATCCGTGCGAAGTTTGCGTGCCTTTATCCATCAGGCTGAACGGCACGCATATTGGGCGCACAGCGGCGCAGCGCTTTCGCCAACGAACTGTGGATGAACTTTTTCATTGGAGTGAATAACGTGGGGTTTGGGCCCCTTTGGTAGGCATTACGATTTCCTTGAAGGTCGCCATCAACTGACCCGCCAAACAACCTTGGCATACGAGTTCTGTGGAGACACGTACTATGCCAGCGTGTCACTCTTATCGTTGCCTGTGAAGATGCACACATTCGTCCATACCTTCGAATTGCCAATTGATATTCTTGCTCACGATGCCAGGGGCAAGCAATGGGCCACGTGCTGCCCATATGGAGCCTTTGATGGCGCACCATCTCGAATGTGCAACAAAAGGGCGGAAGAGTG